CCGTGTGTGATTTATTTGGGAGCTGGGTGGCGGGCCCCCCAAAAGAGCAAAAACAACCAACAAGTCTGTGAGACTGAAGGATGCCCTTCTGCCTGGGCTTAGGAAAGCTGTGGTCCTACAGTGGCAGGTGGGCAGCTAGGCAGGCTGGAGGTCAGTGTCACCCAGCTGGGAGGTTGTCTTGAAGGATCTGCTCTTTCCCTTGGGTGTGCTTTTGAGTCCCACATGCTTCAGACCCAGAGCCAAGGTGAGGCACAGAGGCCAATAAAGCAGGTGAGGCCCTGGGGCCCTCACTCAGAAAGCCCCGTTGGTCCTCCGTTGTGTGGAGTTCTCCAAAAGCAGAATTCTTTAGACTTGGTTCTTGTGGGGAGACGAGGAAGAAGCCACAAGGCTGGGAGCTCCCCTTTTCAAAGGATATCTACTGCCCCGAGACAGCCACTCAGAATAAAAGACAGGGTCATGGGGCCCCGTGGCTTTGAAGCAGGCCCTGCTGTTCCTTAGCCAGCATTCCTTCTCCGCTCTGCTTCCTCCTGCTCTTTAGATCCCAGAATTGGTGGGAAAAAATTCAAATGATGCGTTTTCCCAGTTCAGAGACACGTGGACATAGTGAGAGGGATGGACTGCTGGGTTTAGTCCCAGTTCTACCTCTTACTAGTCATGAGAGCTGGAATTAACTTCACTGTACTTACGCTCCCTCCTCTATATACTGGAGAATGTGGACTAACTGTCCCTATCTACAGAGTTGGTATTTGCTGGACATATAAGTAACATTCAGCACCCAGCAACAATCAAATAGTGAGGTTGAGATATCAAATGCAAATTATAAAGCTCCAAGAAGCACTTAGTGCTCCTATTTGAGATGATTGGTCTCTAATTCATTTTTGCAAGAACCCCAGGGCAGGAAAAACTCAGGGGCAGCAGGGCTTGAAGCACCCTTCCAGGGCCTGCTGCCAAATCTGTTCAGGGCTTGCAGACAGCAGCCATGCTTGTGTTTCTAGCTTGTTAGTGTGAATATCCCCAATACCCTGAGAGGGTTTCCATCCAGCGCGCACTCAGGTAGAAACGCCCCTCAGCAAACCTCTCATCAAACACTGTAAAGAAGACATCAGTCCAGCGCAGACACATCTGGGAGCAGCAAGGAGGGATCTTCCATTTTCAAACCTGTCGCGCAGCTCTGCTCTTGAGCATGGCAGCCAAAGAGAAGGCGTAGGCAGAGGAGGGTGCCATGCAACAAGCAGCTGCCATGTAGGGAGGGCGTGGGGATGTCCTACTGTCCTTCCCAGCTGGGCTCGGAAGCTCGCAGCAAGTGAATCCCACAGGTCATGCTCTAGGACGCAAGCGTGGACATAGATTTCTGCCAGAGAGACCCTCCTGTTCTCAGCCTTCCACCGACGGGGAACGCAAACTCTGGCTGTAAGGAGAGTTCTTGGGGGCCAGGTCACTGAATAGACCAGTGCTGCTACTAGGTTCACAGTCTGTATCAGGAACGAACGTCAGTGGGCCATAGGAGGAGGACTTGTTATTCAAGGGACACTCAGGTGGACAAGTGGCTCAGCTTAGGTCTCACTTCCTTGGCACGCTCTTAGCCCTGGCCCCTTCCCCACCACCATACAGCACCACTGCACAAGCTTGCAGCCTACCACCAGCTGGGTCACTGTTGAGAAGTGCTATCATAGAGAAGAGCACACCCACGAGGAGCCCTCAGCAAAGATAAACTCACGTTTCTGCCATACCTCTAGCCCTGTGATTTTGTGCACACCACTGAACCGTCTGCCACTGATCTCTTGTGGTCCAAATGTTGGAGGCAGAGGGGTGGCAAAGGGCCGCACAGAAGGAGGGAGGCACTCCGGATGATCACCTGGCTGTCAGATGCTATCTGAGAGGTGTAGAAGCCTGCCTGCCTTGTGGTTAAGGGTGTGGGCTGGGAAGCCAGACAGCCCTCACTTCATCCCCCTGCCCCCCAGCCTTGGCATCCTCAATTGTGAAATGAGAATAAAAATTAAACCTTCCTTGTTGGATTGTCGTGACAGTAACGGTCATCATCGCCACCTTCCTTACACTCCTGATGCATTTGGATGGCATGTGCGCTGGCAGCAATGCCGACCTTGACTTCGAGACCCTGGTCAGTGCCATCCAGTTAGCCTCTAAGACTCACTTTCCTCATCCAACACCAGAACAATAAATAGTAATCAGCACACACAGATCAGAATGGTCTCAAGATTAATGTGGCTGTCTCCTCACAGCTCAACGCAGAAGAGCTCTAAGAAGCGGCTGCTATCCGGGAACCACCACCTTCCTCTTTCAGAAAGTGGGTGCAGTCTGCTCAGGCAGTCAACTTTCAGATGACCTATTAGTAAGGCCAAAGGAATCTGAGTAACTGTCTGCAGGAATGCACCCTCCAGGACCGCAACCCAGCCTCGGGGGGCGGGGGGATGGTGAAGGTGGGGGCCCAGGTTGCACATCACTGCCTAGCAGGTACGTGTTGACTGACCACAAAGTCAAGGTGAGGGACTTTCATCAGAACCTCGTTCAGTAAGAGCCCTGAGTGTGAAGGCACCCCAGGTCACTGAAAGACCATGTTCCTGACCTCCCCTCCCAGCATTACTGGGCTCCGCAGGGACAAGCCCCAGCTTGGGAGCTGGAGAAAAGACTGAGCTTCAGGGCCCAGGGGTATTTGCACAGGGAGGAGGTGGAAGTTGTTTCAGAAGCTTGATTCATTACAGCAGCAATCTCTGTCAAACAGGTTTCTGCAGTTCAGGGAGACCTCTTTGTTCTATTGTTCCAGACAGCCAGACAGGCCTCCCTGCAACCCTGGAAGCGGGCAGTGGGGCGGGAAGGAAGCCCCCTGGAGTCTTGCCAGCAGGCGGCTGCCAGCAGCAGCTCTGATCACACAACACCAAGGATCCGATTCTGTCTGATTATAGCCTGTAAACCTGGGGGCTGAGGGTAGCCAGGGTCTGTAAAAGGCAGCTGACACCACATTAAAAAAAAAAAGCAAGTCTAGATCCCAGGAATACTTGAGGAGGATTTCAGCTCTGCAAGTCTATGATGGGAATCCAGCCCAGCAATGGATATTTAAAAGACTAGCTCTCAGGCAATTTGGTTTTGATGCAATAGAATATTACTCAATCTTTAAAAACATAGTCAAGACAGATAGCTACTACATAGTTAGTATATATGTGTGTATGTGTAGCATTATACTAAAAGATGCCAGATACAAAAGGCTAGACATTATATAAAATATCCAGAACAGATAGACAAATAGTAAGCAATTGGTGGTTGTCATCCATGGAGAGGGTCAGTAGTGGGAGTGGCCATCCATGGGTATTGTTGGTAAAGGCTTGGAGTGAGATGGTGCTGGTATCTGCACAGCCTTGTGAGTATAAAAATCCCCACTCCAATGTTAGCTATAAAGACTGACTGTTATAGTGTGGGTTGTCTTGACTTTAGGAATCACATGATTACAAAGGTCTAACTACTTGTTCCACACACATTTACTGGGCGTCTGCCCTGTCCAGCCACTGTAAGGAATCAGGCTCACATTGATGGATGAGGCACCTAGGTCCTTTTCTCCCAGTGCCCCTGTGGTCTCTTGGATTGGGCTGAACTCAGAGTCCCTATTTCTTAGTCTCAAGCTAAGATCTCTCTTGTTGACGTTGGTTGACTGACTGGTTTGGGGTTTGAGGTTGTTTGGTTGTTTGTTTGAGTGATTTGAGACAGGGTTTGATTCAGTCCGGGCTAGTCTTGGATTTGATGTATAGCTGAGGATGACCTTGAATTTCTGATCCTCCTACTTCGACTGACATTGCAGGCCTGCACCACCACACTCAGTTTTTGCAGTGCTGGGGATGGAGCCCAGGGCTTCCTGCATGGTAGGCCAGCACTTGCCAGTCCTAATCTCCACTGGAGTGCTTCTCTAGACCCTGCCCTCCGGCAGTGGCTGAGGATCCCGGTGACCATCATATAACTCCACATTTCCTGAAGCGGTGGTCCTCAAACCTGATGGTCCACCATGACTCGCCTCAGAGCAGAGTCCCATAAAAATCACAGGGTCTGAAGGTTTTGTTTGAACCAGCCCAAAATGACCTTTGCTCTCATAGCTGCACACCTGTCAAGTTCAGGAACCTCTGCCCCAACTCCTCATGGCCAAAGCCTGGTGGCCAGGCATCCCAAATGATGTGCCTTGACTTCCCTGGCTGTATTCTGGATTGCTCCAGGCCTCCCCCCACTCCCCTCATCTGCACTTTCACCTTCCCTCAGGAGGCTCTGTCTTGTGGATCACTGCCTTGGGGAACTGGCATTTTGCCTCTTGCAACATTTATTCTTCTGTCCCTTTTCTCTCCATCGGTGTTGATAAGATGGAAACCCGGGGGAGTTGTCCACAGTGCAAGAATAGCTAAGTTACCCTTCACTGGCAGAGAGTCATTTGCTCTCTAAAAATAGGCTGCATGCTCTGCTCTGTCCTCACTTTTCAGCAGATATCTCTAGAGCGTTCCTATGCACAGATGGTGTTTTACAGAGGAACATGTTTATCAGAGGAATAAGTTTATTATTATGTTAAGGTCAGATTGATTTATACAGGTTTGATCATAAACACACACACACACACACACACACACACACACACACACACACACACACACACACACCCCCGTAAGACTAGGATGTTTTAGTATTTTCCTGTGTGCTCATTCCCAGTTTGAGTAGCTGAGCACAATGGTCACAAGTTACCCAAGCTGGCCTTGAACTACTGATGCTCCTATGTCCTCCCCAACACTGGGATTACATGCCCAGCTCCGTGGCTTTCTTGGAAGTTCTACTGTTCCCATGGCTGAGTGTACCACTGAAGACACACTCACACCTACCAGGTGACCACTAGAGGGGGTCGATTTCCTGCAATTGAACTGGAACTGTGAGGGCTCAGGAAGGTGAGAAGCCAGTTCCTGCCAATGGCTAAGCAGACGGGTGAGGGGAGGAATGGGGGTGGGGAAGGGGTGTCCTACCTGGGTCACTCTTCTCTGCAAAGGCCACGATGTGGATCCCGTTCAAGTCGTCTTCCTGAAAGAGCAAAGAATCACAGGTTCATCTCAAGAGGAGAGAAATTCAGATGAGTGTCACGGACAACAAGATGGAGGTCGGCATGGAGAGGGGGACAGGGGATGGATACGGACACTGAGGCCCAGAGGAGGAGGACAGGCACACGTAAAGGAAGCAGATGCTGATGGGTGGCTGGCAGCGCACATGGAACTTTGATAAGGGACTCGGACCAATGGTTTCTAAGACAGGACAACAGACACAAGAGATAGCAATATATAGTTCTCACTCCTGTGGTCTGGTGCGTCCCGAGAGCAGCAGCAAAGGGGAAACCGTTGAGAGTGTAAGTCTGGCTTATCAGAGGCTCCAAGGCAACAAAACTCTGGAAACAGCTCTAGCGAATTTAACAGTTTCAAGACAGTTCTGCGAATGTGACAGTTTTGAAGTTCCCCACCAGGAGATATCATCAGGGATGGAACAGATGACAGGGAGTCCGGAGCATGGCTGGCAGATCCCGATCCCCTGCCTAGAGCAGGAAAGAACCCTCAGCTCAACTAGGTCTCTGGTGCTCACACAAGAAAGGAAGATTCAACCAGTGTCTCTGGTTGGAGAAACAGAGCCCGTGGAGCAATTCAGGAACGCCACCACAGGAGTGCATGGTGTCCAAGGAGGCCGGAAGAGGGTGTTAGAGCCCCTGAAATTAGAGGCACAGGTGACTGTAAGTGGCCTGATGAAGGTGCTGGGAACCAAACTCAGGTCGTCTGCAAGAACAGCAAATGCTCTTAACCCCTGAGCCACCTTCCCAGCCCCCAACAGGAGCGTTTCTATGAGTGTGAGAGGCTCCAAGGAGAGTTCGGAATTTGGTACTGTGGAGGTTTTATGATGTCACTAAGGAGGGGGTGCCAGAGCAGGGAAAGTAAACCAGGGAACTTGCCAGAAAGCAAAGAGCATTTCATAGTTGCCCATCTGGGACAGGAAGTCCACCTGCCTGTACCGCCGTTGTGTTGATAATTTACTGGAGAAGGAAGAGTGAGGGTGTGGAGCAGCCTCTTGTTGAAGAAATGAGACCTTCTGGAGACTCCATGCTATGAGGCGGAGAAATAAAGCCCGGTGCATGCTGATGACAGCTGACAGACAAGAGAGACTCCCTGGGAACCCTTGTGTCCAATCAGAGTCATCCTACGGGGGTGGGGGACCCAAGCCCCCACCCCCGTTTCCATTTCGATTGCTTTTAATGCTGCTGCAATCCTATCTAAATGCTAATTTTTCCCCTTTGAGTTTGGGATGAACAAAACCTCCAAAAATTCAAAGATAGATTAAATAGAAAATATTATTATTAAAAACAAGAGAGTGGGCTCTGCGTTGGTCAGATTCTCCGGGGAATTGAATGTTACAGATATATATGTGTGTGCACCAGGTTATTAGGAAAACCCGACAGTGACCAGGAGGAGAGTCTGAAGTTCACTGTTGTACATTTGCTATTATTGCCAGACAGACTACCCCGGTCAGGTCTCATTAGGCGGCCCCATGTCTCTGTCGCCTGCCATCAGCTGGAATTGAGCACCCATAACTCCGTGAAGCAGGCTTCATTTCTGCCTCCCCTTCTAGAGTGCACTTGGAAATTGGTTTTAGAATTAAGAATCCATATTCATTTTCTGACAGGCTGCTCCAAGTAGGGCTGTCACTGCCTTGAACTGAGATGGGCCCTGGGTGAGCACTGTCAGAGGGACAGAGGGGCTCTTTCCAAGCGTCTCAGGCATTCGGGAGCATGAGCCTGTATCGAACACCTGTGGAGATGTGGGCAGACTGTGCTGGATGCTGGGAATCTTCCTCAATAAACTGGTGGAGAGGAATCCACGTGCAAACCCGTGAGTCAAACGCACATCATATTCCTATTCAGTTCTTAAAGAATCACAAGGACAGCCGGGCGGTGGTGGCGCACGCCTTTAATCCCAGCACTTGGGAGGCAGAGCCAGGCGGATCTTTGTGAGTTCGAGGCCAGCCTGGGCTACAGAGTGAGTTCCAGGACAGGCACCAAAGCTACACAGAGAAACCCTGTCTCAAAAAAAGAAAAACAAAAATCAAAACAAAAAAATCACAACGACTTATCTAAAGCCACAGATAGCAGTGACCTCGGTGGGACTGACTGGTTCTGTCTAGCCCAAAGACCCTCTGTGTTAGTTCCCCCTGTCTGGCATGACAAAGGGTCATAAACTGGGTAGCTGATCAACAACAGGAATCAGGGAGACTTGTTTCTCACTGTTCCAGGGGTGGGAAGTCCAAGGTGCCCTCAGCAAGGAATTCAGTGTCGAACAAGGCTTGCTTATTCTTTGGTCTTTGGTCCTTTTTTTTTTTTTTTTTTTTTTAGATAGCAACTTTTTTTATTAAGAAATTTTTTTCCATTTTACATACCAATCACAGATCCCTCTCTTCCTTCCTCCCGCCCCTCCCTGACAAACCACCCTCGATAGCAACTCCTTATATAGCCCCAGCTGACCCTGAACTCACTATGTAGCCCAGGCTGGCCTCAAACTTATTAGGCTCCTTCTGGGAGTACATGCATGATTCACCATGCCCAACTTGGGGCTACTTTCATAAGGGCAATCCCAACTATGACAGCTCCGTCATGCTGACTTCTCACCCTCCAAAGGCCCCACATTTAACATCAGGTTTCTAAAACATGAATTTGAGTCTGAGATGCGCATATAGACCACGGTACCGACAGCAAATGGCAAAGCAATGTTTATGAGGAAGCCCGTTGCTGCTGCATACTAGGAACATGGTTAAAGAGGCTAAAAGGGGCCTGTAATACAGTGGCCGTGCACCGGACCCCAACAAGCAGGGGATGTGGACCCCACTAGTCAACACGCTCCTGGAGATTCCTCAGCTTTTTGTCTGTTCCTGCCTTACAATGGACGTCCTGGCTTTGGGTTGTGGATGTTGAAATTACTCTTATTGTTATTGTTATTATTATTGGCTTATTTATGAATTATTATTATTGTTAGTATCATTATTGTTGCGTGAGCATGATGTGGGAAAGGAAGCATGTCACAGCATGCATGTGGAGGTCAGAGAACAACTCTGTGGAGTCAGTTTTATGTGGGTTCTGGGGGTTGAAGGCAGGTTCCCAGGCCTGTGCTGCAAGTGCCTTAACTAGCTAAGCCATCCCTCACCCCCCCACCCCCCCAAACAGTGGGAGAGAGCCTCAGCAGAATGACAAGCCAGCACTAAGTCTGGATAGGCTCCCTCACCCCCAAGTTCTCTGAACACTAGAAACAGTGGGTTCCCCTCGGATTTCCACACAGCAAATATCACTAGCCACCGTCTTCTTCCATGGCAAGGCATGGCACGGCTTTGTGTGGGCTGCTGGCTTAAAAACATGCACAGCTGAGAGAGCTAAAGGTAAACTGTGCTTTAGCCCAGCTCGCTTTCCTGTCTTGTGCAACTGTCTGGCAACGTCAGCAAGAGCGGCTGGAAGTGAAGACTTTTAAGTCCGTGAACTGGTCCCTTTCTGCACTATCTACAGTATAACTTCTTGTGGACACGTGACCCACGGAGATGCCGCTCTTTGGAGCAGTGCCCCCTCGCTTGGGCACAGGGGCCGGGGGAGAAGACCCTTCTGACCAACTGGTGTCTGATTTTCCTTTTCAAAAATGCAAAGATGGCCCTAGATGACCTGTGGTACCTTTTTCCCTATTTAGGGACTTGGAGGAGGGTTGCCCAGATCATGTGACCAGTCCAGACTGCAGTGTTGGGAAGGAATGAACCGTTCTAGCTCCCTTCTCTATTTCGATTAAACTTATTGAATAAAAAGAAAGCTGAGAGTTGGTCCCAGCAGGGCCAAGCAAACACATTCTTCCCACCTCTGCCTGTGCTGGGAGGGGAGGATTTCAGGAACTCCTAGGCTCAGGGGCAGGGAGGGGACACAGCCGTGGGGATCCCGGTCTTGGGTGTGATATGGTGTCAGAGAGGAGAGTCCTGGAGTGGGAATACTTCTGCAGTTGCATTCTCTCCCTTCCCAGAGCCTCAGGGATAAAGAACAGAAGGACTGAAGACACCAGAGATGAGAAAAAGCAGTAAGTGCTCTCACTTTAAAATGGTATTTCATGTTCTGAAGAAAGACTGGGAACCTGTTGTAGGGTCAAGGGCAATGAAGAAATAGAACAGCCAAGTTCAAGTGTCAGGATCTGCATTAGATCCTGGGCCGCTGTCAAAGAGGCTTTCTCTCGAAATAAAGGATATTAGTGGGACTCCTGGCCAATTTGAGTAAGGTCTATATAGTTAGATGAATATTGACTTCTGGATTTTTTTTTTTTTTCGAGACAGGGTTTCTCTGTGTAACAGTTCTGGCTGTCCTGGAACTCATTTTGTAGACCAGGCTTGCCTTCAGTGATTTCTGGATTTTAATCACTATGGCTATGAGAGAAAAACACTTGAAATATTTGGGGATTTTTATATCAGCTACAGAATTCTCAACTAGCACAGAAATATATGCACATATATGCATTTGCATAGGAACATATTTATATATATGAGAAGAGAAAGAAAAAAACTAAGGTGGTGAAATATCAACATTTGAGGACTCTGGGTGAAGAGATAATAGATTTTTCACATCATTTTATAAATCTGAAACTTACTTGAAATATTATGAGATTTATTTGGGGGGGTGTTCTGATTTTTTGGTTTGTTTTACTTTTGATTTTCTTTTTTAATTTGATCATGTGGTTCTGGAAGCTGACCTTTCTAGATGCCATCATGTCGGAATGTCAGAAGTCTGGACAATATTACAGGTATTTGCTATTCCTTTATGTTCAGTAACAAGCCCTTTAAAGGTTAGTTCACTGAATGTTTGCCTTCAGAAACTGTAGCAAGTCCAATGCTAGGAGTGTCAAGTTACTCCCTGTTCAACCATGATGCCCAACTATGAGTTTAAACTTTAAGTAAACAAATGTTTCCATGTTAATGCCCAACACCACAATGGTAGCCTGTGGGGACATGGCCACTTTAGGGAGAGATACTGGAGAAAACATGAGATATGGGTCCAGATAGCCTTGCATCCCAAGAACTAATGCTTATTAGTTATGTGTCCTTGAATAATTAACCTAGGATGATCATAGTTTTTCTCTATGCAAAATGGGCTAAAATGGTATTTGTCCTACGTCAGAGAGCTGGCAGTTCTGAGTGAAATACGAGCAATGGCCTAGAAGACATCCCCCAGACTCTGCTTGGTTTTTGTCCATAGACCCCAGAGTAGAGTTGAGGTGGGAGTGGGATGCACCTCCAAAGCCTGTCAACGATCTGGTTTAGCCACCTGACAGTCTATGACACAGACCTAGGGGAGGAGCTGACATCTTCATCTTCTGGTGTCTCTAGTTGCCTTTAGTTTTGTCTGTAGCATTTTTAGAGACAAGATATTTGTTAACCAAGGTATTTATTATTTAGAGATACTTATTAACCAAGCGCCTGCCATGTCCTGAACACCCCATCTCACTTGTCCTCACAAAAAGTCCCCATGACGACATGACAAGATACAGACACAAGAATACTCAATGGCAGATACTGGACTTGAATCCAGGTTTCTACGACTTTGTAGACTGGGGTTCTTCCACTAGGCTGCCTGACCCAGCTGGTGGCACATGAATGGGAGCCAACCACTAAGGAAAATGAATTTCAGCAATATCACCTAGAGAATAGTACCCAAGAGGACCATACTGGACACCTGTGCTTTATATGAGCATGAAGCCATCCATGTTCCCAATACTTTACTCTCTAGATGTCCACCCTGGTCAATAAGACTTGGCTTTGCCATTTCCTTACCCATGTTTCAAACATGTCCTCTGGGCGCAAGCGACGTAGCGTGGGTCTGAAAAAAAAAAAAAAGAGGAGCTTCCTTGAATAGGGATTGCCACAGTAGAAACTGAGTCTCAGCTCTATGCAAATGAAACACTGATTCATCTGCTTGAACCCGAGGAGCCCTGAATCCATCTCTGACCCAAGGAAACAGAACTTTTCCACTTGCTGAGTCAGGAGAGCACTAGGCCCAAAACACTCAGCCTAGTCACAGACCTGTTAGATCCAAGGCACCCCAAGTACAAGGGGATGGGTCAGAGAGAACAGAGACAGCACCTTCCCAGTGTTCCCTCCTCACAGATAGGGACCACTCCTGAGAGCCCAGGGGCAATCCTGAACAAGGAAATGGGGCAGACAACAATTATTCCAGTGCAGAATGCCAGTTTTTATCATTAGGGTCATCCCTCAAAACTAACAACAGTAAACGTCATGTTGGTCCTGCCTCGCATTGTCTTTCTGCAGGGACAGACTGTCTAGGTGCAGGGGTCATGGCGCATCAGGCTCACTGAACACATTTGTCTGTGGTGGTATTTTACTTGTACTGAAATGTGATTTTAATTGTATGTTAATAAATAAAGTTGCCTGGGGGTCAGAGCTATTAGAGCCATAGCAAGTGCGTGGCGGCGGTGGCGTATGCCTTTAATCCCAGCACTTGGTAGACAGAGCTAGGTAGATCTCTGTGTGTTCAAGGATACAGCCAGCATTGGAGACACACGCCTTTAATCTCAATACCATAGAGGACCTGGAGGGCTGTACATACAGGCAGTGACGAGGCAGTCACGTGTTTGGGTTTACAACCAATGAGAAGGCAGAACAGCTAGACTATATAAAGATGAACAGACAGGAAGTAAATCCCTTTTGGAGAGCTCTCTTGGCTGAAGCAGGAAGGGTAAGGCTCTTAGTTCTGACCTCTTGGCTTTCTTCTCTGAATCGGCTCTGTGTTTCTTATTTAATAAGACGGTTGGTTACATCTACATTTGTCCATGCCAGGGAGGGAGGAAAAGGTGAAACAGAGGGTCCACTACCGTGACCCATGTTCCCAGGTGGCTCCTCCCTCCCGAGAAGAGGCAGAAGACTCCAGCTGGTGGGCCAGACCAGGCCAAAGCCTCTTGCTTGTGTAACTAGACCCTGCCTGGGACACTGTCACACCCATTTGTTTACACATGAGCATGGGCTGTTTACGTGCTCCAAGCCCAGAGCTGAACAGCTGTGACAAAGGCCGTTTGACCCCAGAACTGTGTAAATATTTACTATGTGGTTCTGCAGTGAAAAATTCTGTGGATCCCTGCTGGAGATACTGAGTCCCAGCAAATATCCCTGTCCCGGAAGTTGTCTGTGGAATGTGTAGAACTGTCCCAGGTTATTTTGTTTAATTACTCAGTCTTACTATTTACTATGTGGTTCTGCAGTGAAAAATTCTGTGGATCCCTGCTGGAGATACTGAGTCCCAGCAAATATCCCTGTCCCGGAAGTTGTCTGTGGAATGTGTAGAACTGTCCCAGGTTATTTTGTTTAATTACTCAGTCTTACCGTGCTGTCCGAGACATTGGGAGAATAACAATTCCATAAGGGTGGAGAGTAGCCGACGTTCTTCCCATAAAGCACCAGGAATGTTGCTCCCCATACAGGAAGTTGTCATTCTAAGTGTAGTTTCATTCATATCTTACTCTGGCTTGGGGTGGATGGGGGTCGGGTGGGGGTACCAACTAGAAGGCGGTGGTCTAACCCTACTGCAAATGTAGAGCCTCGTTCAGAAGTGGTGACATCCTTGATACTTACTGGTCAATGACTGACAGCGCCACCTTGGCCAGTTCTGTTCTACTGGGTGTCTTATTCTAGGTTGTTGCTCTGGGTGACTCTGGACTGTCAACACGGAGAGGCTCTTGTCCATTACCCAGACTCCTCCCCATCCCCTACATGTCATCTCAAGTACCTTTGATGCTTCTTCACAAACTCCACAAGCTCCTCTTCTGTGTACGGTTTGTTAGGGATGACACTGGGCTCGTCCATAAACGGCTCATAGAAGCCAACTTCGTTCATCTTCAAGGACAACTTCTTTGCCACCTGTAACAGGTAGAGATCAGTCATTCATTTGAACACGAGCCTGGAGTAGCCGTGGGCTACCTCCCCCAGAGGGGGTGCTTGCGCTCTCTGGTACCAACATGAGAGCTTATGGGCAATTTCTACTTAAACACTGAGTATCAGGGATTCTATCGCTTCTAGTCTGGGCTGGACTTGATCTGTGATCAAAGCAGGTTCAATAGAAAAAGACTCATCTGGAGAATAAGCATGACGAGGAGCAGTTGGAATAACAAGTCGAGAATGTAAGTGCATGGTTATCTTCCCTCGGCTGTGTTTGCCTGGGCTGGAGGAGCAAGCAGATGGTAAGAGAACACGTTCACAGGGTGACTTTAACTGAACTAATTTGGATGGGAAGGGCAATTGGTGGAAACCATTAGAGTACACAGGTTCACAGAATCAAAAGCCAATCCATTCACCTGTCCTTGATCTGCTCATAAACTCGAATTGCTAGTTAAGCTGAAGCACACTAGGGCTCTGTCTCTGTACCACGCCTGCTAGGTGTTTTGTCGGGCCCTGAGAACTGTCCACCTCTAAGACAACTAATCCTGCTTTGCCTAGGAAGGAAAGGCTTCCTGGGACAAAGGACTTCCAGTGCTAACGTGTGGATTGTTCCTAGGGAGCCAGGAGGAGTGGCTCACCCTATAACTAAGCTCGAAGAAAGCGCCCGTAGCCTGACAGATTTTTCTCTCTTGTTAAGGGGGCCACACGCCAGTGTGTTGTCAGGGCAGAATGGTTGCTGTGTTTTTCTGCAAAGCTGCTGAGCTCAGGGCCTCTCATTGTGACATGCTTTGAGAGGCCTGGAATGTGAAAGGCTCCATTGGAAGCCAAATGCCATTGTCTAGCGCAGAGCCGTGGCCCAAGAAAGCACCGGACAGAACAGTGGCTCCCTTGAAACTGCAAAGCATTGCCTAGGAGCTGGCACCTTGTGGTAGTAACCCCAACACAATGACCCAGTAACCCAGGGATTGGGACTAATGGGGGGAAGGGCGGGTGTTACATAAACTCTTGCACAAGGAGGCCTATTCTGTGGAAACACTTACGTCCACAAGCATCATCACTTGCTAATAATTCTGGGTCACTAGATTCTAAAAGACAAGCTTTAATTCCAACATTCTATGCAGGGTGAAAGCCAAGAGGCCACAGAAAGAGCTACAGTCAGGCTGGGCCTTGGTGTAAGCCCATGACCCCAGCACTGGGGAGGCTGAGGCAGGAGAATAACAGATTCAGCATCAGAGTAAACTCGGGTGAGTTCAAGGCTAGTCTCACTTATGAAGATCTTGTCTCAAGGTAAAAAGTTAAAAAGGTGGCTGAGGATGATGAAGTGCAATACTGTGAGGTTTAATCCCCAGCACTGGGGGGGGGGGGGGGGGGGGAGGAGAGAGAGAGAGAGAGAGAGAGAGAGAGAGAGAGAGAGAGAGAGAGTCAGTCAGAAAGACAGGAGGGGTGGAGTTTTCCCTCCACTTAACTGCCTCCTCTCAGGCAGGTGCAATGTGAACGACACAGTGATGAGGCAGGGGTCTGTGGGGGTGGAGGAGCAAACAGACCAGGGCCTGTATTGACACAGTCCTTTGCAAGCCTGCCTAGGGCACAACAAGCTTGAAAATACCAGACCCTGCTCTCTGGGTTCACTCACTCACTCACTCACTCACTCACTCACTCACTCACTCACTCTCACTCACTCTATGTTCTAAGAACCAGGCTTCCTTCCAGGTGATGAGAAATGATTAATATGAACAAAACCGTAATACTATCGAGCACAAAGCCTGCTTACTACGTGCTGGCCACAGCCGCAAAGGGCCTTAGGGTGGTTGCGTTGTGGAGCGCTCGCTTTGAACGTGGACAGAGCCGGCACTCTGCTCTGTCTTACGGACGAACAATTTGGATGAGCAATTCATCAGGACAGAAGGGCAGGGCCACGATCTACACCCAGAGGCTAAAGAGAGCACTCTGTCTAGTTTCCCGTGTTCCAACCTCCATTCCTTCTGAGGATTCCCTTCTCCTTGACCGTGTAAAGAAAGGAACCTGTAGATATTCTGTAAACACTACATTGGCAGCCTACATTCTAACGAGCTCTTTCTTTGTCTTGCTGTCATTAGTTCTCATTAATTCATCCTACATCAGGGGAAGTAGTTATGACCTCCTGGAGGTGAGAGCTGGTCAGAACCACATGTCAAGCAGCATGCGCATGCCTGTGTGTATACCTGTGCCTGTGCACAGGGTTTCTGGTCCCCGGATGCCAATGCCTGGGTCTGCGGCGTTAAGTGTATGAATGTAACATTGGATTGTTGAGGAGGCCTTATGTTTTGGTCCGGAAGAACCTAAGATTTCCTGCAGTCTCTTGGCCGGCCCTTTCCTCCCTCACTACCTCCTCGGTCCTCCTGTACTTCTCTTTCTTCCAGCCTTGCATACTTGCATCTTGGGTAGCAAGGACTGAAGGAGGGTTGACCGGCCAATGAATTTATTAGTTCAGTCTGTAAGGATTTAGCAGGGCCTCCTGTGTCCAGGGCAAGACTCTAGCAAAACCTGCCTCATGAGTGTCCCAATTACGTAATGATGCAAGGTACCCTCGGATATCAGAGAGTTCCATAAAAATGAAATTGCCCACGATTTTCCTTTTTTCCTTTACTTGGAATAAGTTTTGGCACTTTCAAGCAAACTACAAAGGACAGGGAACGTTTTCCTGGCATTTGCATGCATGGGGATCTTGACTCATGGCTTTGCTGCCGTTCAACAGGCCGGTCCCGTGGTCAGCGGTGAAGAATCAGCTGAGCAAGAACTTGGGCCTTCTCCTCTCTTCTCCACCAGCTCCTTCAGGCCCCAGTGTGACTCAGAACGGACTAAGGCTTCATGCTGGTCCCCAGGCAGAAGGAGAAGAGCAGGCCAGAGTGGTGTGGGACCGTAGAGCTGACACTTCGCAGGTTGCCAGGGGCAAAAGGTGGACTCCAGCCTGTCTCTCCCACCACTTCCTAACAGCGCCTGAGCTTTAGGATAGCCTGAGCTACACCACAGGGACCCATGTGGGTCCCAAACCCATGAGTCCTGTAAAGTTCCCTGGGAAGAGTTCGTTTTTGTTTTAAGCTTCAGATTCCTAGAGCTAGAAAGATGGCTGAACAGTTATAAGTGTACAGTGCTTCCGCAGAGGACTGGATCTGTCCCCAGCACCCGCATTAGGAGGCTCCCAGCCACCTGTAACTCCAGCCCCACGGGGATCTGATGCCTCTGTCATCTGTGGGCTCCTGCACTCTCTCTCTCTGTCTCTGTCTCTCTGTCTCTCATACACACACACGCCACACAAGCACACATAAGCATAATTAAAATAAAATAAATATTTCAAAAACTAATTCAGATCCCTGTGTCCTGTCACAACCCTAAAAAAATTCTTGGAATAATCCCATAGATTAAGGTTCTTCTCTTCATTTCTTTATCATACATATGACATCTACATATCATATATATCTTTTTTATGTGTGTGCATACACACGCATGTGCCAAGTGGGTGTATATGGAGGTCAGAGGACAACTTATGGGAGTAAGTCCTTCCTTCCACATGTGGGCCCCGGGACTGAACCCAGGTCATCAGGCTGGACAGCAAGCACCTTTACTGCTGAGCCATCCCGTTGGCCCACACAAAGACTTTTAAAAGAGGAAACGAGATCTATTGACTGCGGTTGAGAACTACTGATCTTCACATGGACACCGGCAGCCATATCCTCTCACCCTGTTAACAATTCCCCCGTTGATGTATTACTGGGTTTTTACTAACTTTCTGCCCCTTCACCTCTCACACTAAACTCTGAATTCTACAAGGCCAGTCAATCACATGTCTTGCTCGAAGCTGTTGGGTCCTGGAAGCCTAGAAGTCACTCAGTAAATACTTGCTAAATGAATGCGTGAATCCATGCGGGGGGGGGGGGGGGGGGGGGGGGGGGGAGGGGGAGACCACTGTGTTGAATGTTTTCTCAATGTGTGAAAAACTGGCCCCAAATTGATCCTGCGTGCTAACAGCTGCTTCTTCCCGGGCTTTGTAATGTCCTCAGTAGCTTCAAGTCTGTTTTTTGTTTTCTTGTTTTGTTTAAGCTCAGAGTTGCAGTCTCCAATTGTTTGAGGGTTTCTCTCCGTTGTCATGGACCGATGCCCTTTTGCAAACAGAACTGTCTTCCCCCTCCTGGGTTTTATTGCTTTTCCTGCTCTTCAGCTCTTTCTCCCCCTGCTGGACACTGTTGAGACTGCAGCCGCGCCTTCTGGATCCCACCACCTCCCACTGCTGAATGGTTACAAGTCCCAGGTGGCCTCAGCCTGGTCCCCGTCCTGTGTTCCATAGGGAGGTGCAGAGACTGGCTTCTTCTTTTCTAAGAGTGTGAACCTCACGAGGCCACGTGAGCGGTGGCACTTGGACTCTGTCTTAGTTGGTAGTAAAGCAGCTTTGGGGGTTCGCTGGCCTCCTCTTCTTCATAGGAACAGGCACAGAATCACATTCTGGGTGGACTGGGAGGCACTTCTTAGAACAAACTCTGCCCTGAACTCACATAGATTGTCACTCAGAAAACTAGGGCTTTGGTGATTAGCCAAGCCCACCTGCCCAGGGTTCTCTCCTTTCTTTCCTTCACATGAACCCTCTTTAATTTTTAAAAAAATTATAATGGGTTACAACAGGCCATTTTCTTGCAACTGTATAATCTCTCCACACTTCACTGCCCTTGGCTCCCTTTATCCTTTTCCTAGGAAAGTTTTACCTCTAATTTCATGTCATGTATATTACAAGGTTTTGTATATCTATATAAAATATAGAACCTGTGCATGAGAAAATGTGATAACCATGTCCCTAGACTGACTCAGTTCACTCCATAAGATGATCTCCATTGCACACATTTCCTTGCAAACAACTTAACTTCATTCTTTGTGGCTGAAAAAAATCATTATGTGTGTATATCATTTTATCGATTTTATTTTTATTTTATGTGTTTGAATGTTTTGTACACTACTTGTGTGCCTGGTTCCCAGAGAGGCCAGTGAAGACATCAGAATCCCCGGAACTGGAGTTGCAGACAATTGTGACCCACTTTATGAATGCTGGAACTCAAACCTGGGTCCTTTGGAAGAGCAGCCGTTGCTCTTAACTGCTGGGCCATCTCTCCAGCCCCACATTTCCTTTAACAACTCCTCTGTTGATGAGCACCTGAGCTGATTCTATTGGATTAGTTCTTTTCTTTCCAATGGGGTCTCATGTAACCAGGCTGGCTTTGAACTCCCTGGGTAGCTGAGGATGACCTTGAATATCTTGCTTACGGATTCGGTGTTGGACATCAAACCTAGGGCTTGCTGAGTGTTAGACAAGTGCTATATTAACTGAGCTACATCCCCAGCACTCAGAGCTCTTAACCTACCATTTCTTAGTCACCTCTGGCTCAGCAAAACCAGAGGCCAGTGATGGATCCAGCTTGGGCTTCTGCATTCATCCTTGCCCGACACACTGCTGTGACATGCCCTCCCACTGGGTCTAGATGTCTTTTCATTAACAGCAGTTCTTACATCGCATGCCAGCAATGGCGAGACTCCAGCCATACACTCCACCCATGGCGTCCTTCTCTGAGCACAGCTGTGCAGAACAGCATCTTTGACATCAGCCGAGGCTCAGACTTCATCCAGGTTTACCCATCGCTGACTGTGATCGAATCCGTCTCTCGCTCCCTGCCTTGGCTATTCCCTCTGTGCAGTGAGAACACTGGCAGCCCGTGCAGGCCTTCGAGAAGATGGGGATGCCCATCCCTGCACACCATAAGCACTTAAGCACTGGCCATTATCCCCATCTTGCCGTTTTTTGCTCAAAAGTGGTCCCAACTGTGAACCTCAATCAGTGAGGGCAAACTTCCTTTGCATTTAGACTACATTGGAGTCATTAGTTAGCCCTTCTTTTTGGATTCCAGGCTTGGATACAGAGACCATGTCCTCAGACGTGGTTTTCCAGACTCTCCTCACATTTCTGGACAAAGAGGCAAAGAAGGATGGTGGAGAGTTCAAACTTTAATTGCCGATGCCGCTGAACGTGTTTAAATCAGGTTTTCTCAGGTACTTACCCCCTTGTCAAAGGTGGCAAAGAACTTGATGTAAGGCTGGAAGTGTTCCGCTGCCTCTTGGAAGGCTTTGTAATCTAGGACAGAAGACACGGGAGAAAGAAACATTTGCAAGAGGCCAACTGCACACTTGGAGAGAACTATGTTAGGTAACTATTGAATAGCATCTAAAACGATCATTGGCGTTGAAATTGACGGGCATCCAGTCGCTCAAGAGAAGCCTTCTTCCCCCACAGGTTTGTGAACAGAAAGCAAGAAATAGGGGAAACTGGGGAAGAGGAAGAAAAAAAAATATACGGAAAAACCCCAAATTAAAAAAAAATACATGGAAAAACCCTCAATCAAAGAAAAAACAAAAACCTCCTTTCACCCAAATGCATGGAGTTATAACTGCACCCACTGAGGATGCAGTTTCTACATAAATGAGCTCACAGTAGGAAGCAGAGTTACCACACTGTGTTTACAGCTAACAGAAAGACAGGACCCCGTGAAGTGCTTCGAGCTTCTCCAAAAGAGGGCTCCCAGGTGCATCTTACATTCTCAGAAGCAGTTTCGTTTCACATCCCTCCTCTTCCTCCGCCAGCTCTTACATGCTTTCTGCCCCCCTTTCCACCATGTTCCCTGACCTTGGGGGACCGGGGTTGGTAGAGATGCCCTCTTACACTGAACATCCACAGTCCCTCACACTTTGCATTTACCCACTGCAGTGAGAAGCTTCTGACCAGTCCTGGGAGCTGCATAAATCTATAGCTAGAAATGTAAGTTTTTATTTATTGTTTTGTGTTAATTTGTTTTTTTGAGACAGGGTCTCACTATGAAGCCCTGGTTGTCCTGGAACTCACTCTGTAGACCAGGCTGGCCTCAAACTCACAGAGATTCACTTCCCTCTGCCTCCCAGTTGCTGGGATTAAAAGCCTGTGCCACCACACTTGGTTGAATATAAATATTTAGAAGGCAGTTTGTTAACATGAGATATAATAGGGGGGCCCTGGAAGGAATTGGGGGGGCAGTGAGTGGTGAATATGATCAAATACATTGTGTGTAGGTATGAAAATTTCAAAGACTAAAAAGAGGTAAAAGACTTTAAACTCTGACTCTCTAAGGTTATTTTAAACCAAGCCTATCCTTGACTCTTGTTCAAACATCTATCCAAATTTGTCACGGAAGGAAGGAGCCACACCCATGTGAGAACACTGCACTTTATTTACCACACCTGGGCAGGAATGCATGCGGTATCTGGAGTCAGGCCTCCAGTCAGGGATGGGAATGGTGGCACTTGTTATAAGTAAATTTTATAACCCTGTAATCCCGAGCCTAGGATTTACTCTTCAGAAGATTGGCGGTTTTCCATTTTGTTGGATTTCACGCTCTGGAATTAGGCAGCCTTGTATACGATTCGGTCATAGATGGTTTTACAATAATACTGGCTCAGCAATGCCCAGGTAAGGGAGACCAGCACGCTAATGTCAAGCGACTCTTGGCCTGGGGAGGGCACTGGCTTTTAGGAGCCACAAGACTAGGGAAACGTCTCAGTTAAGTAGCTGTCTGACAAACTCAAGGATTCCAGTCTGGGGTTCAGTCCCCTGAACCCACATAATAAAACCAGGCAGGTGGCAGATGCCTGTCATCTCAGTGCTGAGGAAGCAGAGACAAGTGGATCCCTGAGGTGGTTGGCCCCTACTTGGAAAGTCCCAGGCCAGTGAGAGACTCTGTTTCTTAAAAAAAAAAAAAAAATTAGCCGGGTGGTGGTGGCGCACGCCTTTAATCCCAGCACTCAGGAGGCAGAGGCAGGCCGATCTCTGTGAGTTCGAGGCCAGCCTGGTCTCCAAAGCGAGTTCCAGGAAAGGCACAAAGCTACACAGAGAAACCCTGTCCCGAAAAACCAAAAAAAAAAAAAAAAAAAGAGATTAAAAGTAATAATAAAGTCTGTTCTTTGCTGTACTCACACCTACATGAACACACTCTCCCTCACGCCCATACACATATGCACACACTCGGGCACACACTTGCAGAACCACGATACATGTCAGTTGTTCTAAAAGAGATAACAACAGCATACATTTAAGAGAGGTTTGAAGTGTACAGGAATGCTGATCTGGTACCTACTGATGCTGTACACTGACACAGACGTCCCTAAAGTCATGGTAGTCAGAAAGACGTCACTGGGGTGGCTGGGTGCTTTGGGTGGAGGACAGGGTTGAGGTAGAGAAGGTAGACAGAAGCATTTGAAGGATCAGAGAGAAGGACCAGGTGGAGGAAGGGCGATAGCAAGAGCCACACCAGAGCGGCAGCTGCCCCTTACAAGTCCTGCCCATCCCCCAACATCCCTGTCCAATCTCTTGCCACCTCTGAAAGCTGTGAGCTCCTAGCCCAAGGATGATCTGATCCAAGTGAGAAGCCTCTTCTTTTCTGAGAAGTCTGATCCATGCCATTGTCAAGATGACAACTGGAGAGGTGGGCATGGTTTGAGGCTAGCCTGGTCTACAGAGCAAGTTCCAGGCTAGCCAGAGTCACATAGTGAGATCCTTTCTCAAAGCAAGCAAACCAAAAGATTAAAGATGGAGCAAGGGGCCGGGCGGTGGTGGCGCATGCCTTTAATCCCAGCACTCGGGAGGCAGAGGCAGGCGGATCTCTGTGAGTTCGAGGCCAGCCTGGTCTACAGAGCGAGATCCAGGAGAGGCGCAAAGCTACACAGAGAAACCCTGTCTCGAAAAACCAAAAAAAAAAAAAAAAAAAAAAAAAAGATGGAGCAAGGGACTCCCAGATGGGTGACTCAAAATTCATGGGACCTTCATTTAGGATGCCTGGATCTGCCACTTGTCTGTCTGGTTTTGTGAAATCTGAGCATCCAAACCCCGCCTCCCACACACACACAAGTAAGGATTCATCTTAGAGTTTCCTCATCCCCTTTCCCTGTCTATCAGGAGTCTACCTCCCTTTTAGTGCCTCAGATTTTAGTGACCGGTTAACAGCACACATTGGAATCTCTGAAGAGAAATGTCTGAAAGGCCATCATCTGCCTTACAAAGACCCAAAGCACGCTATTGTGGGTGGAGCATTCAAGGGATAACCTTGGGACAGTAGAGTTGGGGAGCACTGTCCAGTCTGTGTGCTCGTGTGTGGCTGCAATGACCACAGCTCACAAAGGCCTTCCTGTCATGTGTTTTCCCTGAAAGTCCTGAGCTGCAACATCCACAGAAAGGCTGTCATGAAGGTTCGCTCCTGATGCTGAATTTCTCATAGATGGATGTCACAGGGCTGGAGAGACGGCTCAGCCGTTAGTTAAGAGCACTGGCTGCTCTTCCAGAGGTCCTGATTCAGTTCCCAGCAACCGCGTAGTGGGTCACAACCATCTGTAATAAGATCTGGTGCCCTCTTCTGGCCTGCAGGCATACATGCAGGCAGAACACTGTATGTTAGAGTAAGTAAATAAATCTTTAAAAAAAAAAAAAGGATGTCATAAAATGTGACCTTGATAACATCTAAACTGGTCACATAATCCCGTCTCCTTTAACCTTTGGGCGGGAAGTCACCTCTCCACTGTTTCTCACTAACAGAAAGCAGTGTATCAACTGAGAAGTAAATTAAAACCGTCAATTATAAACATTGAAGAATTTGGGAAGTTATTTGTTGACTTCACAAAAAATGGTGACCTTAGCTAAGCATCCAACTAAATTTAACTTCAAATTACAGGGTTTCCTGTAGCACAGGCTAGCCTTCAACTTGTGATCCTCCAGCCTCTACATCCCAAGTGCTGGCCTTATAGACATAAGCTACCACCAACTAGTATTTAGAGTTTAATAATAATTAGAAAACAAGTTGGGCGACATCTATGCATGTATTCCTAAGTAAAAGCATCATTGCTATTTTTCCAAACATAACATGCTATGGAAAGATATAGTTGGGCTTTGATCCCATTAAAGGTCACAAGAAATAAGAAGATTTTAACTGTGACCAAAAAGAAGAGTCAGTTGTCTGGATGCAGGGATGCTTGGGTCCATGAAGAGCGGGGACCAAACTGACTAAATCGCATCCGTGATGAGAAAAGAATGTTAGCAGTGACGGAAAAGGCAGTGAGTGTGGTCCATTCCTTCGCCACCATCAAAGTGTGAACAAGTCTCTTATCAACGGTGTCTTTCAGGGAATTGAAGAGCCTGGCGCTTCCAGCCATCGTGAGAACCATTTGCTGCTATTTTAAGCCTGATACCTAAAGTCACAAAGCTGCATTCTTGGAAGTGACTCAGCTTCTCTTTCAAAATCAGAAAATGTACTCTATGATCTCGTCCCCATCTCAGGTCTTATTGCTACCATTATGTAAGAAAAGTAATAAACAAACAAACCAACAAACAAAGTCAGGAAGCCCCAATCCCTTGCAGGTGACTCTCATTTTGTGCCTATACTCATATTTGCCGTCCCCTGACAAGACTCCCACGGCCTTGCAAGCAGAGCCCGCTAGTTAGGGGTATGAATGTTAAACTTAGGCTCCTGGAATTTACAGCCTGGCTTCTGTATCCACCAGAGACAGGAGATAGTTAATCAGACCTTTGTGTCCCACCCCTTCACCACCGTTAAAATGCAGATAGCCACCTGGACAGAACAACCTCACGTGCCTGTCACATGGCACTCCTAGGCCCAGGCCCTGGCGATCACAGATGGGAATAAAATGGCGCCATTCTGGTTTTTGTCGGTGCGGTGGGGAGGGAGGAAGGAAGGTCCTGGAAAGCACTTTCTATGCTGATCTTGGCCTTGGCCCCTCCTGCTCACACTGGTCACACCTAGCTAGTGAAGAGGAGGGGACAGAGGGCAGGGACAAACTGAGAGGAAGGGCTGAAAGGCGCATGTGCTGTGGCCCAGATCCGGCTTCCGTTTTGTTCCACTTTTTAGCTACTCAGGACATTACCCTTCCTGTTCTCTTCTCCCTGCTCCTCTAGACGCCCACTCTCCACCTTTTTGTCTGCACACCCCACTGCTGTGATGTTGGAAAGGTCCCTTTGCTCACCCACAACCTGGCTACAAAGTCTTCACGGGAGGCTGCCCAAGGGTGTGGTGGCATCATAGGACAGACTGATGGCCACCTGCGGGCTTGGCCAGCCATTTTTCATATTTTCTAGCAACTACTGAGCCCATCTCCACCCAAAATTCGATTAATTCTCTCCAGCTGACAGGGAAGCTCTCCAACTAGTGACCACAGGAACCACATCAGAGAGATGGCCACTGTGTGTCCCATTTTACAGGAGAAGAACCGGATGGGAGAGTAGAGGAAGGAAGAAGGCATTTGTTCATTCTGTAGAACACACACACCATAACACAGACACTCTTACACACACAACAACACACACATGTAATAACACATACATTAATACACACATAGTAACACACATTCACATGCACAATCACACATACACATACAATCACATACACACACACACACACACACACACACACACACACACACACACACTTTCAAGGCTAGAGAACATAGCCTGCCCTTAATGTTCTTTCCATCTCACTGCCCATTTTGCACAATTCCTGCACACGTGTCCCTTTGCACAGGCAACTAGAAGAAATTCAGCTTCTACTGCCCCCAGCAGAAGAGATGTCAAAGCCGCACCCTCTGTTGGGATAGCCTCGCACACCTTGTCAGGGGCTAGCCTGCAGGCCTGTGCTGACAGGAAACTCACATTCAGAGTCCTCGTTCTTGAAAAAGCCGAGGAGCTTGATCTGGTCCTCGATGCGCTCAAAGGCCTGGACTTCCAGCTTGTTATTCACGATCTCCACAGGGTCTTCAATGAGCTGAAATCAGAGGCGCAGATATGGTCACAGACACACACACACAGACATAAAGATGTTCAAATAAGAGAGATCACCTCTCCCCAGTGGAAGGTAGAACACTTTAGAGAGAAGAGATACATGTGCAAAAACTGTGCAAAATAGGCAGTGAGATGCAAGGCCATGTTCTCTAGCCTTAAAGAGGTGTGTGTGTGTGCGTGCGCGTATGTGTGTGTGTGATTGTGTATGTCATTGTATGTGTATGTGTGATTCTGTGTGTGATTGTGTATGTGGACACAAAGGCTAAAGTCTCCAGCTCACATCCCATCCTGCCCCATTGTGCATGACAGAAGTCCCCCAGGAAGCCTTGGTCTTAACTTGGGGATAGTTGTCCTGGGGACCATTCTATTCCTCTTGTCAGTTATTATTTTAAAATTGTATCTTAAGTTATAAATTGACAATTGTAACTATACACACACACACACACAGAGGGGAATGTGTGTGTGTACATAGAGAAAGAATCAGAGAGAGAGACTGTAGTATGCACATGTGAATGTGTGAGACCTGCATGCTCAAATGTAGAGAGAGATCAGAGCAAGATACCAATGTCTTCCTGTGTCTTTCTCTTGCCTAGAGACAGGCTATCTCATTGAACTGGGAGCTTGCCTTTCTGGCTAGGCTGGCCGGCCGGCCATCTCTCAGGCCTGCCTGTCTCCTTCTGCTGGGTTTGCAGACACAGGAAGACATGCCAGGCTTTGTACATGGGTCCTGGGGACTCAAAGTCAGGCCTTCAGATGGCTGTTCTTGCACAACAAGCATTTGTACCCTCTGAGCCATTTCCCAGCCCCAACTGCTTGTATTCCTGCAACATAAAGTGCTAGGAAATATGAATAAATTGTGAAATACTTAGCTAACACCCATTACCTCAAATACTTACCTTTGTGTGATGAGAACATTTGTGTACCCTCTTAGTCATTCTGAAATGTATGTTTATGTTTGCTATGCTGACCATACTGTGCACTGTCTCAAAGGAAGGAAACCCCACTTGTTCTTCCTGCCTGCTGACACTGTACCCCTCAGATCACAATCTCCTCATGTTCAACCCCATTCCTGACTTGTAACCGGCATTATACAGACTTTCTTCCTTTGTGTCTTTTAAAAAAACATTCAATTATCTTAACTTACACATTTAAGCAAAAACATGCACTGTGATTTGAATGTGAAGGGTACCTCCCAAGGCTCAAGTGTTGAAGGCTTGGCCACACCCTGAGGCTTCCCTCACTGAGATGTGCGTAGATAAGTAAGCCTCTGACTCCACTGATGGATGAATCCACTGACGGCGTTAAAATCTGATGATGCTATTGGTCCTGATGAGAATTAGCAGGGGAGAAAGTAGGTCATGGAGGATGTGCCTTTGTAGGCTGAATCTGGTCCTCAGAGCCTTCCTCTTTCTCTCTGCTTTCCGGCCGGTGGGAGGTAAGCAGCCTCAGCCCCTTGCTCCTGCTCATAGGATTTCTGCTTTGTCTCAGGCCCCACACAAGGCACTCAGCAGACTCTGGGCTGAAACCTCCAAAATCAAGAGCCAAAGCAAACCCTCTTTTTTTTGAGTTGTTTCCCTTGGGGCTTGCCACAGTGATCAAAAACAGACACAGTGTGCAGTATACGCCTTTCTGTGCCCAGACTCATGAGTGTGGTGCTCTCTAATTTCATCCCTATTGTCTTAGAAACAAGACTTCTTGTTTCCTTGTCACCAGGTGAGTTGTGTTTATTCTATAACATCTCCTGACACTTGAGTCACCAATGGGCAAGTGGCCCGGTTCTGGCTCCGTGGGTGCAAGTTTGCTGAAGGTCTGGAGAAAGTGATTCTTTACTTTTAAGAAATTGATGGGGCCAGGTTTCCTTCTCTCCCTGGATCTGAACAAGGATGTGTGATAAATGGGGTCCTGATGCAGTCCATCTCATCATCAGCCTCAGAGCACCCACCTTGAAGACCAAGACCATGGGCTGGCTGGTTCTGTCAGCTTGACCAAGCTATAATCATCTGAGAGGAGGGAACCTCAGCTGAGAAAATGCCTCCGTAAGAAGAGCCTATAGAGCATTTTCTTAATTAATGATTGATGTGGGAGGGTAGTACCACACAGGCTATGGACCTGGGTGCTGTAAGAAAGCAGGCTGAGCAAGCCACGAGGAACAAGCCAGTAAGCAGCACCCCTCCATGGCCTCTGCATCAGCTCCTGCTTCCAGGCTCCTGTCCTGCCTGGCTCTTGCCTGGGCTTCCCTCAGTGGACTGTGGTTCAGGATGTGTAAGCCAAATAAACCCTTTCCTCCCCAGGCTGCTTTTGGTCATTGTTTTGTCACAGCAATAATAACCATAACTAAGACAGACCACCTTCTGAGAACAGAATTATCTGTGGTTTACAGAGATAAAGCCCCGATTTGGTTAAGTCTAAACACTGCCCTAATTTTGGTTTGTTGCTTTTGTGGGCCAATCACACTGTTCCTCGTTTAAAGCATGTAGTCTTCCTTCCAGAAGCTTCCTTTTAGCTGGTGAGTGTGGAGCAGTGCCATGCTGGTCCAGACTTAATAATGTTGCTTTTCCTGAAATTCCCCAGGACTCCTACATTAATGAGAGAGCCCAGCAGAGACTGTGGACACTTGTGTTTGGCAGCCTCTTCTGCCCTTCTCTGGCTTTTGCGAATGTAGAGAGAAAGCAATAGACTGCAGGGTGTCTGCAGGAAAACTGCTAGTGTAGATGGCCAGCTGGGAGCTCTTCGTGCTATTGCTGCTGTTTGTTCTAAGGACAGAGTTGTCCCACAGAGCCCAGGCTGGCCTTTCATGCACAGTCCTCCTGGCTCAGCCTCCCCACTGCCAGGGTTACAGGTGGATCACCACTCACGGCAAAATTAGGTTCTTTGTCTGTGCGGAGCATAGGTCCCAAAGCCTTTAGCCTCACAGCTGTGAGCAGCAGTGTGATTTTATACACAGCCAAAATATTCTGTAGCATTTCCCCTCTGTTGGAACTTACAGATTTGAGGATGTGATATCCCCATGGCTGAAGCTGAATGTGGTTGTTTTTGGTTTTGTTGTAGTTGGTGGTGTATTTTGTGTGTGTGTGTGTGTGTGTGTGTGTGTGTGTGTGTGTGTGTGTGTGTGTGTGTGTGTTTGAGAGAAAGCTCTGTCTTTCCTTAAAAAACAACGTGTTTTTTACATTTACTTATTTTGAGTGCGGGAGAGTGTGTGCACACCATTGTGTGTGTAGGGGGATGTCAGAAGACAGCTTGTGAGAATTAGTTCTCTCTTGTCACCCTGTGGGGCTGGAGAACTGAATACAGGTCACCAGACATGGCAGGAAGTGCCTTTACCTTCTGAGCCACCTCACCAATCCACTGTCCCTCCTTTACATGGCTCAGAAGACTCGGGGAGACCAGGCCTGTGGGTCCCCACTTCCATCTCAGGTGATAGATTCGCCCCCTCTTTCCCTGTCTTGCTCTCTCTCTCAGTGTCACTGTGCCAATGTCAATAAATGCCAGTGGGTATGATGTGTAACTGGTGAGAGACTACCATGTCACTTCTGTTACATACACATACACATACATCATCGTTGGGTCACTTAGAACAATTTCTTCAGTGACTTAAGGGCCTGCTTCCCAGTAAAAGTAGATTCCGCTATAACGCAGGTACCCCTTGCTGGTTTTTGAAGCCTGAGTAGTGCCTTATGCCATGCCAGGATCTCCAGTTCCTTTGTTCTTGCGTCAGAGTGTAGCCTGTCCTCTATGGGACAGCTGCACACAAGGCCACCTCCTAAATACTTACATCCAGGAGAAATTCCACCAAGACGTCTGCCGCAAACTCTCCATCAAATTCTATCGTGCGATCACCCTTCAGAACATACAGGCTTCCTTCTTCATTGAAACCTGGAAGGAACAGAGGCCCAAGGCCAAGGTCATTCGGGTGCAGAAAAGCCTTTGAGGTCCTGAGTGGCAGTGGGGTCAGGATCAGTGGAATTAACATTAACACAGACAGATCAGTTTGACAGGGTCGGCCTTGAATTTGAAATCTCCTCTCTATTCCGCCACTGCTTTAGTTCCCATGAATACTGCTGAACTCTGCCATTCTCCTCATCAGAGCCTGTAACAGCCACTGCTACCTGTCACCTTAGCCTGGCTTCAAGTCTCTCAGTCACCTAATGCCAACCCTACCACTCCACCCACCTTGGCCAGACCCGGGCTCCTCATCCTGTACGATATTGTGAAAGGGTGTGTCCAGCCTTCTTTTTTCCTTTTCTCTAAACCTAGAACGACCTCCATTCCTGACTCCATCTTGGTTACTCCTTCGGGTTCTGGCTTAGGGCCCATTCTCATCTAAGGTCTCTGTGACAGTCTGGGTGTCCCTCCAGCTCTCCCTGCTTGTAGGTGCTCACTCTGATAGGACAGTCTCTAACAATAGAGGTGTGGTCTTCTCCAGAGCTCAGTCTCTTGCACAGAGCCTGGATGTGTGTACAGACAGCTCTGAGTCACAGGCCTCTTCACTCAGGCCCCTGGTTGATGCTGGGAGGGCAGACAGCAGCTTCACCTTTGCCCCAGAACCCTTGAGACAGTGTACTTCAACAAATCCTTGCTGGGACACTGTATCCTTTTCCCCAGAATATTAAACAGCTAAGGTTGACATTATTATGGCTCCACAACATCTTTAATTCTTCAGATTAGTTGTTTTCAACTCTATTATCCAGGAAATGCTTTCCCCTAATGAATCACAAAAGACCCTCAGAAGCAGAAGGTCACCCCATCTGAAAAGCTCCTGACACACCCCAGCATTGGACAGACAGAGTATTCTTGACTCTAGTGACATCTGATCTTAAAATGTGCCCTAGGAAGCATCAGTCAGCATCTTGCTTGAGACTGTCTTGAGTGAGACCAGGTAGGGCTTCACACATGGCTGTAGTCATAGCTGAAGTGAGGCAATCGGGAGAGGAGGCTGAGGATTATAGGGGCAGGTTTGCAGAACACAACCATGTCCCGAAAACCCCAAACATCCAACATCTAGAGTACAGCTGCTTTCCTCCCTCCTGGTGACCTTAGAGAAAAGCACATTTAGATATAGCAAGCTCCAGCCTGCCCCTGACCAGTCTGTTCTTGTGAATTCTTGTTCAGCCTGTGCTGCCTAGATTTGAACATTTCTAGAACACTAGCATTTTTTTAAGATCTCCCAAATACCACCTATTCATTAAAACAGTGGCAGGTTGGGGGCAAGGCTAGTAATCAATTAGCTGCTGGAAAAAGAGGCAGAATTCATTCAATGTTTTTGACTCTAGGAAGAGTTGAATGTATTTTACTTCTATTCTCAGGACAGAAAAAGTATTCTTAGTACAGTCATTCTCAATAGGTCATCATTCTATAGACATGAGTTCTTCCTTGTGTCTAACTTAAGTGGACTTCTATAAAATAAATCTTATCTTTGAAAATGTCTGGTTTCTAAGAAATAAAATAGGAAAGAGTTTTTTGTAATTTTTGCTAGGATAATGCACCTGCATGTACCTGGGATAATGCACCTGCATGTACCTGGGATAATGCACCTGCATGTACCTGGGATAATGCACCTGCAGGTACCTGGGATAATGCACCTGCAGGTACCTGGGATAATGCACCTGAATGTACCTAGGATAATGCACCTGCAGGTACCTGGGATAATGCACCTGCAGGTACCTGGGATAATGCATCTGCATGTATCTGGGATAATGCACCTGCATGTACCTGGGATAATGAACCTGCATGTACCTGGGATAATGAACCTGCATGTGCCTGGGATAATGTACCTGCAGGCACCTGGTATAATGCACCTGCATGTACCTGGTATAATGCACCTGCATGTACCTGGGATAATGCACCTGCAGGTACCTGGGATAATGCACCTGCAGGTACCTGGGATAATGCACCTGCAGGTACCTAGGATAATGCACCTGCAGGTACCTGGGATAATGCACCTGCATGTATCTGGGATAATGCACCTGCATGTACCTGGGATAATGAACCTGCATGTACCTGGGATAATGAACCTGCATGTGCCTGGGATAATGTACCTGCAGGCACCTGGGATAATGAACCTGCATGTATCTGAGATATTGCACCTGCATGTACCTGGGATAATGAACCTGCATGTACCTGGGATAATGAACCTGTATGTGCCTGGGATAATGTACCTGCAGGTACCTGGGATAATGCACCTGCATGTGCCTGGGATAATGCACCTGCATGTACCTGGGATAATGCACCTGCATGTACCTGGGATAATGCACCTACATGTACCTGGGATAATGCACCTGCATGTACCTGAAGATGTCTATTGAACCACCACTAAGCCTTTTCTCTTCTGTGCTTTCTACTCCAAACGCAATTAACCTTTCTTCAAAGGCCCTGTTTCATAACCTCCTGCTATTTTTAATAGCCACTCTCCACTGGTCATGCAGAAAAAGCTAAATGGACAGTGTTGGGGGTGGTATTTGGAAACCAGAGGGGTTCTGTGTGCCCTTTCTCCTTGGGATTACAGAGGAGGAATCTTAAAGGGCACTTGATCATGACATATTGACATGAAAGATTACAGTTTCCACCGAATTGTCACTTAGCCATGCCTCCCCTAAATCCAGCCAGGCTGAAAATTTTCCAGCTGGGGTTCAGTCTTAACTTTGGGACTTCTGGAGCCCCTCCTGTAAATGCATCATGTGCTGGCTGCTGCTGGAATGTTCCCAGAGAGGCCCAGAGAAGCCACTGGGGCACGAAGATGCAGAAGCTGGGCTTCTAGATGTGAGAGCTATAAATCAAGGCTCCAGTGCCTTGCATCAGTTTCTCTCTGCCTGATCCTGGTACAAAGATAAATCAAATGATTCCTGCCAAACCATTAGTTGAGGTCTAGATTTGCTTTTATCAAGCTTTTCTCTGACCCAGAATGTTATATGCATTATCATTGTATGTATTTGAAAATAATCCAGCTATGCAAGATAAATATAACTGCCTTTTTTTTTTAACAAGACATATTTGTTTCTTCCTCACAGATTTCAAATATCAAACTTACCCAGTCTCTTGGCAAGCTTGGCTTCTTTCTTGGAATCCACCATCACAAAGCCTATGTTTTTATGTTCCAGGACCTGGGCCACGAGCTGAAGAGACAGATAGGTACAGGAAGTGAGTTAAAGGATGAGCGATGGGAGACGCCATTCCAAGTGCCAGGGCAGCACCCTTTGTACGTCCTGCCACTCTGACCTCTGAGGAGTCACCAGAATGCTGAGAATCTGAATAGGCTAAGAGGAAAGACCTGGAAAAACACATCCATGACCACAAGCCCCTCTCTGCCCTTGAGGAGATAAAATTGGGATGCAGAGAATCCAAAACACCCAGTGGGCACCTGGCATGGGGCCTTGAGGTCTTCTGTAGTCATCAAATGAACCTGTGAGGGACACACCTGTGAATAAAGGAGTCCTGAGGCCTGGAGGCCTCCTGCCCCTGGGCTGGTGTGACACAGGTGCCTGTTGGCATCTGGAGGCTTCCTACTGCCCATAGTGAGGAAGAACTGTAGGAAGTATCTGAGGGTGGAGGTACCATTGGCCTGAAAGTCCAGGAGGCAGCATCAGTGCCTAGGGTGGAGAGGTGGCTAAAAACCACTCTAGCAGATGGCAACATAGGAGATGAAGCCATGTGGAAGGCTGACATCCAGCTAAGCTTCCTGAAACTCTCACATGGCAGAGCACCATCTCTCTGTCATCTTGCCATCTCACCAAAAAGGGGCTTGACAGAAATGAGGAGATCATGAAATATGAAATGTCTGGGGACTGATCCTGGGACCTTACAAATGCTGGACACGCTGAACCATTGTGCTACACCTTAAACCCTAATACTACTTTAAAAACACATATATTCCTATGCAGTTGTTAAGAAATACGAAAGTGAGATCTCTTAAACATGTTCCTGGTTTCCTACAAAAGCAAAGTCTTGGGAAACTGAGGCACAAATCATGAACTGGATAGTGCCAACAATAGTTAAGATACAGAACATGTCCATCACCACAAAGGGCCCTTCGGGGTCCTTTATTATCTTAGCCACCGTGTGCTGCCCAACCCCCACTTCAGCTCCTGGAAACCAGGAATTCCCCCATTTGTTGTCTAAACATGGAACCATGAAGCAGGTAAGTTTTTGAGATAACTTTTTTTACTTTGCGCAGTTATCCAGAGAGTCTGTCAGGTTGCTACCTGGATCACTAGGTGTGTTCTTTTTCACTGTTAGTAGAATGCTGTCTTGTGGATAGACCGCAGTCTGCTTAATCATTCACCTGCTGAAGGGTACATGAGTCGTTTCCAGCTGTTGACTATTGTGACTAGAATTCCTGGGTGGGATTTTTAGTTAGACATTAGTCTTAATCTCTGGGGGGAAATGACTAGGACAATCATTTCTGAGTCATATGGGAGTTTCGGGTTTAGTTTTCAGTGGAACCACCAAACTGTTTTCCAGAATGACTGAACTGTTTTACATCCTCATGAAAAATGCATGAGTTCCTCTACAGCCTTGGCAGCATTTGGTGTTACCACTACTTTAAATTGTAGTCATTCTCATAGGTATGGAGCAGTGTTTCCTTATGGTTCTAACTTGTGCTTTGTGATAGTTTATCTGAGCATTAGTCCATGTTTACATATGTTTTCTTCTGTGAAATGTCTCTTCATGTGTTTTCCCATTTTTATGGTGAACATTAGCTTTTTCTTTCTTTCTTTTTGGGTCCCCAGTATCCATATAAAAGGTGAGCATAGTAATGTGCACCTGCAATCCCAGCTTTGGGGATAAAGACAGGTGGATCCATAGTTGTCCTGGCCAGCTAATCTGTGAATCAGGGAACCCCAGGTTCAGCAAGAGACTTTGTCTCAAAAAATAAAGTGGGGAGAAGTTCACCCAACATACATGTGCAATTATGCACACATGAAAACGTGCACAACACATCCAACACACAAATGGAAAAAATAATTTCAATGAAGTCTAATTCATCAATTTTTTTTTAATTATACATGAGATTTTTGTTGTTGTTTTTTAGACAGGGTCTCACTATGCAGCTCTGGCCGAACTCAACATATGGACCAGGCTGTCCTTGAACTCACAGAGATCCACCTGCCTCTGCCTCTGAGTGCTAGAATTAAAGGCGTGCGCTACTATGCCTGGCTATAAATGGGATTTTAATTTAAGTCCAACTGCTAAATTCTGAACATTTCTATCTGTTCTCTAAGTTTTACAGATTTACTTTTTGTTTTATGAGACACAGAGTAATTTGATGACATTCTGTGGAAACTGTGATACAGTGACATCCATTTTTCCTTTGGGGCCAGGTGGCCCCAGTGCCATTTGTAGATGGCTTTCTGTCCCCTGAACTTTACCCACACCTTTATAAAGACTCAGTTGATACATTTGCGGGGATCTAGCTCTGCTGTTTGCATTCTGTCCCACTGATCTATGTGTCTGTCCCTCTGTTCCTCTGTCTGTACCACACAGCCTGGGCTGTAGCCTCTATGAGGTGAGTCCCCAAAACAGGCAAGTGTCGGGTTTCTATTCACTCTTTGTGAGTTATTTTAACTAGGTGCTTTTCTCTTGCATACAAGCTTCAGAATAATCTTTTTTATACACAAAAAAGAATCCTACCAGGGTTGGACAATTATACTATTATTATAGCGTAATATATATGTGTGTGTATGTGTATTGTAGTTTGTGTGTGTGTGTGTGTGTGTGTGTGTGTGTGTGTGTGTGTGTGTGTGTGTGTGTGTGTGTGTGTGTAGGGGGGAGGGGAGAGAAAGTTAATTATATTAGCTCTTCTCTCAAGGTGGGGAGAGTGACGTAGTCAGAATGTTAGGTGTGTCAATGTGGGAAGATGCTGTACCTCTCCATTTATTTCATGATTTTTCCATCAGCCTTGCAGCTCTGAGCACATAAACCTTTGTTTGTTTGTTTGTTTTATGAAGCAGGGTGTCATGTAGCCCAGGCTGGCCTTGAACATCTGATCCTCCTGCCTCCACCTCCCAAGTGCTGGGACTACTGACACTCAGTACTGCGACACTCAGGTTAGCATGTAAGTCTAGTGCAAGTTTTGTTACATTTACAACTAACTGTTTGAATTGTTTTGAACTAGAGTGGCGTATTTCAATTTTGCATCTGTATTCTTGCTAGTACAGAATATATAATCGTATTTTTATGTTTTTCTTGCAGCTTGTCACCTTGAACTCATTTATTATTTCTAAGAAATTTTTCTTTCTTTGGAATTCATGGGAATTTTCAGTGTAGATAATCATGTCACCTGCACAAATGTTATCCCGGTCCCCTTTGTCTGACTTCTCCGTTCCTTCTGTCTCCTTGTTCTGCCCATGAGAACTCTAGTCCGGTATTGAAGACAGTGCTTTGCTTTCTAACCTAGGTTTTTTGTTTATTTTGTTTGTTTGTATCTCAGTCCTCTGGATGTATCTATTTTTTCCTGTCTGTCCCTTCAATTCCGCTACTATTTTACAGGTTGATCCAGTGTATTCTACAATCCTTTGGGGATTTCTTGTTTCCCCCAGTATCTCGAGGACTATTTGGCTCTGTGGTTAGCACCCTAAGTCTCTCCTCTGTCCTATGGCTACTTCTTTTGTGCCCCACCCCACCCCTGTGTCTGCCCTGGGTGTACCCAGCTGTCTTCTTCTGTCTACTCCCTTTCCAGTTAGACTTCCTAGGTTGTTCCTGGCCCAGCCACGCTTCCTTCTTGTCTGTTCTTAGCCTTTCTCTTTTTCTCTGGCTCCAAACCAGTCTCTTTCCTCTAAGACTAAGGATTTTTAACAGAATGTGGATCTGAGGAATGCTCTGGTGTCTGCAGTGGGGGAAGGACCCCAGGAGCAGGCAAACAGAGCTTTTTTCTTTTCTTCGATTTTGTCTGGGACTGGGAAGCCTGGGAACGCATTGTCACCACCACCAGTACAAGGCTGTGACTCACCATGAGCTTTCCTGAGGTTCCCCCATGCCAGTCTTTCTGCAAAATTGCTTGGGTGTAGGCTACTGCACACAATTCATCAGACCATGTTGTGTTTTCTTTCCTTAACAATTTTTTTTTCATTGCAAGCCACCCTGTCCTATTTACAGAAGTCAAAATCTTAAGTGAATGTTCCCCTGTCAATCGTTCAAAGTCACCACACCCAGCTTTGTAGTACAGTAAATTCCCCCGTCTTCTCCCCCGTGAGCCTCTGACAGCAGTTCTTAAACTTCAGTATGCACGAGAATGCCCGGGGACTCTGTTAAAATGGGGCTTCTTGGTCTTCCTCTACAGAAAATAGAAAATAGAGCTGGGTGGAGCTCAGGAATCCACATTCTCATACACAGCACAGCCCCACCCTGTGGTTCTGCTGCCTCAGCTCTGGAGTTAGACACTCTCTGGAGAGCAAAACTATTAACGGCTGTTGCTACTTCTGAAGGCTACACAGCAAGGTTCCAACTGTGAGCTCACACTGGCGTTTTTTATCTCTCTCCATTTAGTATAGGAGATGAGTATTAATAATGATAATAATAATAATGATAATGATAATAATAATAAAGGGAGGCCATCAAATTGGTTCATTGACCACTGAAGGCACTTGTCACCAAAGTCTCACATCTTGCATTCTGTCCCTGGAACCCATGTAAAGATGAAAGAAGAGAACTCACTCCACAAGGTTGTCCTCTGACCTCCACAGGCAGGCCATGCCGTGTGCCCCATGACATGCACGGACCACATTCCCACATCTGCCCCCAACCTCCCTCCCCCAAATATCAGGAAAGACTGAAAAATTAAACAAGAGTGTTTGATTCAGACTTCTCCCCAGCATACACCATCACATTTATTATTTACGTATTTGTGTATTTTAGGTAAGCACAAATGTGTTCCTCTCTTGGGCACGAGAAGCATAACCTTCCCCGTCTTGATATCTACCTGGGACTTTTGACTACACTTGAGTGGTAAGTACCTATCGCTGTCCTATGCCACAGATGGAGAGACAAAGCAGACGGTCACAGGTGGGCCAGAAACCCCACCCCCTGAGATGTGCCTCCTTCTTCCTCCTGTTCCTCTTCCTCCTCAACAGCATGACTCCAAATTCCGGCAGCTCCCGAATCACTGTCCACTTCCACCCTCCCTCAACCCAGAGGCTGCCCCTCTGGGCTTCATCCTCACCATCAGCAGCTCTGGCATGCAGCCTTCACACGCTTACACCAACAGCAGCCTGGGCTATCGGGCACCTATGAGTCCTGTAGGGCTGAATGCGGAGGGTGGCCGCGGTGAAGACCTGGGACCTCTGGGCTAACTCTTGATGTGACTGGGTCCCTGAGGACCAGTAGTCTCTGGGGATGCTGGAGAAGGCAAACAGGTCATTGCTGCCTCTTGCATGTGACTTGCTTTCCTCCATCGTCCCACTCCTGCACCCTAAACCCCACCTCGCTTGCCCTCTCTCCTGTGGGTCTCCAAACCTTAGCAAACCTTGGATACCCAGAGCAGGCCCAGGCTCGTCTCTCACTCCATTCTCCTTTCTAGAAAGCCAGTGGCCCACCCCCGGGAGTGAGCTCTGGCACCTATCCTGTAATTGCCAGTTAGGTTTACGTCTCTTCCGTATTGTGACTCTTTCCTCAGTATGACTGTTTTGAGCATCTTCTGTATTCTGTGCAGTTCCTTGGAGACAGTGGGTGTACTCATGGATTGGTCCAAGTACATCACAAGTTCAAGGAGCTTGTGAGCCAGAGAGACCAGAAGCAGTTATCACCAAATACTGTGAGTCCTAGTGAGAAAAAAAGATTGCCTCCACACTTCTTAAATGTCCAAAAAACTGAAATACTCTTTATACACGACTACCATTTTCTCCTGCTAGCGTACAGCCATTCCTGACTGGCTTGAGCAAGGTGGGTCGATTGATGGGTTATTTCATAGTCTTGCCTGAGAGTCCATCCTAGAAACCAGCCCCATCTGTTGGCTAGTTACCTATGGCTCCCGGAATGGAAACATTGCCCACTCTCTCAGAAATGCTGGGGTTTGGTTTGACCATTGCTGATTCTTTTTATCCCAAAGAACTTCTAGCAAAGTTCCATATAAATAGTATCAATGATAACATGATGAATAAATAATACAATAATTCAATAGCTGACAATGTGTTTCTGACACGTCTTTCTCTTTCTGGTATTATATAGATATTGTACCACCATTGCTGCTGGAGTGATCAGGTCCATGTGCATGTCATCTTTAAATGAGCAAATGATCTATGCTTGCCAGACCCCAGTGATGAAGAGCATGGGACTTAGTGTCAATTCCTGGACTGCTGACTTTGTCACCAGCCTGCACAGGACTCTTTGGAAGAATAACAGAAATAACGAATATGAAGTGCTTGGCATGCATCTTGTCATACAGTAGGTGCTTAATAAATGGTAGATTTCCTTCTCAATAGTATGGTAGTTGAATAGGGTTCTGGATCGGGTACTGATCCCCAAATGCCAAGGCCTAGATTATCAGAAAGGAAAGTAACAATCGTTAGCTAAGGACGAGCTGGTGAAAGAGACCGCCAAAACAGTGGGGCAGATTCAAAGGCTGTGGAGTCTCCTAAGAGAGAGCTTGTGGGCAAGGGGCGGGGGGCAAACCATACAGAGCCTGGCAGGCCATGTTGAGTGCTGTGGTTTGGTTTCCATGCATTTTGGGTGTGTCTAAACATCCCTTCATAGCCACCCAGCCCTGCACAACGTGGCCTTCTGCATCTTCAGCTTAATTGGAGTCTACATCTAGAAATGTCCTTCGCTCCATCTAGAAGACCTCCTTTACCATTCTTCATCAATGCCGCCATCTTTGTAGTGTACCTGGACACGTTAGTGCCCCAGAAGGTAACCCCTGACCCCTTGACCCCTGACCCCAATTCAATGCTTGCTCAAGGACCCTGAAATTTCCTCTGCAACTTGTCCTAGGTTTGTATATGATTATTGTGATTATTGCCTCTCTTCTGTTAGTGTTAAAGCCAGCAGGCCCAGTCTGTGTCTGCCTTTCTCCCAGTGCTATCTCTAGCACCCAGGAGAGTAGCTGGACTGACCCCAAATTAGTGCCTCAAGTAAACAAACCAATTACAAGGGAGATTGCTTGTGAGAGCAGAGGCCAGTGAGACAATGGACCGGGACAGGCAGAAGGAGTGAGAGCATCCACGGGGAAGAAACAGTGTCGGCAGAGGTTTGAAGGTGGACGTGTCAAGGGCTGGACCAGAACAAGCTAGCTTAGCGGAGTAAATTATATTTGGGGGAGCTTAAAGAGTCCTGTGTTTAAGATACCTAAGAAAAAGAATAAAGTTTTGTACACTGTGGTTGGAAGTTATGATTTGGAGTTGAGTAGAGCGAAGAGATTGATCTGAGCTCAGAGAGGGTAGATCCAAGGACCCAGACCAGACAGAGAAAGGAATACGAGAAAGAAAGACATCCATCCAGGTGGCAGGCAGGTGTGTGGTCTGATTGGGGGATGGCTCTGGTCTCAGACAAAGGTTGGGACCATGAAGAAGCAACAGCCTTATATGGTGGACAGTGTGAGTTGGGACCCAGTGAGACCCAGTTGCTCTTGCTTGGCCTTTGAGAGGGAACAAGGGAGAGGGGCCACAAGGTGACTCAGAAAACAGAACAAAGGGCAGGCGGTAACATCAGGAGGATGTTCTGGAACTGCCGTCGGCTTCTCAGAACGGATAGAACTGCGGTGAATTCACGATCACAGAAAGTGCTCAAGCTACTCAAAGGAGCCGAGGAGGTGAGAGGTTGAGGCATTTGGGGGGCTGGTGCATGAGCAAGCCTCAGGCCAGACTGGCCACGTTAGAGGCATGTACAGAAGGTGCGTGAGATAGGTGTCTGAAGAAGTACCAAGGCTGTGAAAGGAGAGGGTGCTCAGAAGCTGCAAGGCATGGCAGGATCACTGTGGTGCCCTGACTCCCAAGCCACTAAGGCCTGGTGTCACAGGGAGTCCAGGAGGGGCAGGACCCCCGTCAGGTCTCCTTTCTGGACTGGTAAGTCGTGGATGACCTTGTAAAGAGAAGCCGGGACAGAAGCCAAGGCAGGGAACTGGACAGTCGAGTGGGTGGCAAGGACAGGCTGGAGCAGGTGTGGCTTGCTTGTTCCAGAAGTTTGTCCATGAAAGGAAGTCAGTGCAGAAGGCTTTGAGAGGGTCAAGTCCCCCCCCCCCCGGGACTGTTTTCCTGGGCCTCAGAGGACAGGGCATCCGATGGGTCTGTGTGTGCCTCCCAAGTAAGTCCCTGTATAGAATTTATCAGCTCTAACACAGCGGGAGAGGTGAAGACACTTTGTGGGGAGAGACTGGGATTTCCTTCCTGGTTGGAGGGAAGATGGGAGAGATGTGAGGAATATGGACACTTGAAGGGAGGTGGCTGTGCTTTTCTGCATACTCATGAATCTGCAAACATCACAAATAAAGAGCCTGAGGAGAATTCTGAAGACCTCTGCTCTAAGACAATGTCCCTCAGGCCAGCCACTGAAAGTACTCTGGCTGCACTGCTGTTCTTGCCAAGCAAGCCAGGAGCCAGAGAGGGCTGCTCTCCACGTCCCTCCCCGAAACCATCTGGCAACAGGTCAAACTGTTCAAAACTGTGTCCCTGAAACCTGAGAGCCCACGTTTATCTCTGGTATCTCCTGTCACTTTGGGCCACTCTCAAGCAAGGCCTGGGCTATGTATAGCCTGGCAGTTGGCACCCATTATATCCACCCAGGAGGCTGGCTGGGGAAGAGGACAGCTATTTATGAGAATTCAGCATTTACTAAGCTTTTGGGGCTGCTATTGGGTAACCCTTGAAAGTGCTGAGGGGGAGGGAGAGAGGCTACTGATTGGTTCTATTGGCACTTTGGGGACTGTCACCCCACTCAGTGCCAAGGCAGGGTTCCAAAGGCTGATGCTGTGTGTTCACTGCACCCCTCCAGGCTGAAAGTCTATATAACAGCTGCAATAAAACACCAATCAAGGGACTGGTGTGATGGCTCAGTGGCAAACACACTTGTCACCTGAATTTGATCACCAGTACCCACATAGGGAAGGGGACAACTGACTCTGTCAACTGTCTTCTGACTGCCATACATGCCATGGCATGAACACACACACACACACACACACACACACACACACACACACACACACACTTAATTAAATGAAAATGTTAAAAATGATAGTACGGAGTGGGTATTCACCAGGCCAACTACAGCATTGACTACCTCATGTGAATTATTGGAGTCTCTATGAAGGTCTCCCAAGAAAGAGCTTTGCAGATGAGAAAATGGAGGAACAAAGAGGCTGACCCCCTTGTCCACAACCACACAGTTTTTAAGCAACCCCACTGCGAGCCCAACCCCGACACTGCTCCAGAACCTAAGCTCGCCTCCACGGCAACCTACTTCTGCAGAGGGAACCAGAGGGACCTGAGCCCATGCCCTGGTGCTGCTGATGACCAGCTGTGAGCTGAGCAAGGGAGCGCTTCCTTGAGCTTCAAGTTTCTATGCAAAAAAGAAGCGAGAGCCAGTTGCTGCCGCCGGCCGGCCGGCACAACCCGTAGGCAAGCACTCAGTGAAGGCTTGTCCCTGTAAAAGCCAGCGCAGGGCAAACCCTATGCTAAACCTTGCTCTGACCACAAGCGCACATCAGCATCTCTTGCAGGGAAAACTGATGCTAACACGGCCCAGGGGGCCCACCCAGAGCTTCTCACTCAGCAGGTCTGGGATGGAAGCTCAGAGTGGACATTCCTGATCAGATCCCATGCAGCGAGCCCTGGGCCCACATACAGTGAGAACTTCTGCTCCACACAGCTCCTAACACGTGAGCACAGTCTCTCATTGTGCAGCTTTGGGTGATATCCAATATGACAGAATGAGGGAGGCTGTCCCTGGAGGTCGGGGCTTTTGTTTATCCATTGTACACCAACAAGAGCATTTCATGGAATAAAAATCAAATGGATTTAATTCTCAGTAACACACAGGCACGCACGCACGCGCGCGCGCGCGCGCGCGCGCGCGCACACACACACACACACACAGAGAACTAACAACAAAATCCATCCTAAGGTAATATTTGGGGCTGGAAACACAGTGATAGAACATTTGCTTAGTGTGAGCAGGGCTCTGGTTCAATCGTCAGCACCATATAAATAAATAAGTTGACTAATTAATTATTTAATAACATGGGACTAGGCTGTGCCCTTTCCTAATGTTCTTAGCAGACTTCTGTTCTCAAGGGCTTGTGGAGATGCAGTCTGGCAGGAGGGCCCCCTGCAGCACCCCTACACACACACACCACACACACACTGAGAAGGACCCCACACACAGTACCCAGACCTTTTGGGGGGCAGAAAGAGAAGGCTCCTTTCTAAATTCGCTTTCTCTTGGTTGGAATCATCCTTCATTAGGAAGGTGGGGAGCGGGTGCCCTGCCCATGGAGAGACCTCCCTGATGTGAAAGAAGGACTTGGACTTCTCTGCCCTGTGGTACACATTGAAAAGCAGAAGTCTGTTCCTGCTTGGCTGAACTTTATGAAATACTCAAGCCTGACTGGATCCCGGAACTCAGGAGCCGGGGACAGATGGATCCCGATCATAAGTTCAAGGTCAATCTGGGTAACATAGTGAGACCTGGTCCCCGCAAACAACAATAAATTCTGACTAGAAATATTTTTGATAGCACCTTCTAGTGATAGCAGATGCCATGGAAAACTAGCTTGTGTGGAGAATGGGAGGTTTTATGGGATGTCACATATGGGTGAGTTCAAAAGCAGTCTTTAACTGTGCATCAAATATGTGTGGGTCACTTTCCCTGTGTCTTGTGTCTGTTTTACCATTATAAGATGGCCTGGAAAGAAAGTACATGTTGTGACCATTGGGATATTTCACAAAACAAGCACTCAGCCTTGGAGAATCCCATCCTGCCTGCAGCCACACTGCTAGTGCACAGACACAAACTCATTTGCTTCACAGGTAAATTAGGGGGGGGGGGTGGTCAGTTAATAGCTTGATATCCTGAGTGAGGATGGCTGTGGGGAAGGGGTGAGGCAGGCAGGTGAGGGACAGCCCAACACACAGCAGATGATGGGGAGGAGAGGGTGCCTGGCTTGGGTACCCAGCAGCAGGAGGGAGCTCCTGGAACCAGGCACCTTGGATACTCCGATGTCTTGCCAGCCCATTGCATTGCAAGATGGCATGCTGGATCCCTTCCTGAGAGGCTGTCCAAACAGCAACAGCTCGTGTGGATAATTCTGGCCTGCTGCATATAGATTAGACCCCACAGAACCTTCTGAGGCATCTTCAAATGCCTACACTTTGGGCTGAGCTGGCTTTCTCGGGAGAACGAGTCGTGTTAGGTGTGTACTGAGGCTGGGGCTCACGTGGCATGCCCCCCACCAACCTGCAAAGCTAAGGCTGCAGGAGGGCAGGGCTGCTGATGTTCCAGGCTCCGCTGACTCCCCATGGGAGGCCTAACCTTCTTGTAGGAGGGAGTGGGGGGTGCATCGGTGGGGGGAGCTGGAAGGGCAGGAGGAGGGAAGAGAGGGATCTGTGATTAGTATGTAAAATGAATAAAAAAGTTTTTCTTAATAAAAAAAGAAATGAACCAAAAAAGAAAAGCCTCTCAGTGTCTCCAGCAGATCCCATGTCTTTTTTCTTTTACTGATTTGTAGTATAAGAGTCCTTACCGTATTTCCATGGTGCTGGCTTTCATGGTAGCTCATGACCCCATTTAAAAATGTGTAGTTGTGGGAGGATGCCTACCCCAATAGTACAAGATGGTGTTCCCGAATGGAGAAGCTTCAAAATGAACTGTGGTTCTGATGTACAGGGGAGGACTATTTTCATTATTGTATGTGCACAATGTGTGCGTGGGCACATGTGCCATGTGGTTCATGTGTCAGGGCATGGGCGTGGAGGTCAGAGGTTCCCAGGGGTCAAGCTTACATTATAAACGCTCTTACTCACTGAGCCATTACGCCAGCCCTCTATCTGGAAAATCTTCTCCTCTTCATTAATTCTGTACAGGGAAGGCCTGACTACAGTCAACTGAATCCATATCCCCTGATAGCATTTCTTGTTTCCTCACTCACCCAAGACCACCTGCACTACATGAAGTGCCCAGCAAAGGCCCCTTCTACAGTTCCCCGCACTGGGCTTCACAGGAGCTGGGGGTGCCCGGTGGGGGTGGGGAGATGCTTCTCCTGGAACAGCACAGGTTCTGTGTGAGGGCTCTTTCTCAAAGCCAAACCAAAATAAGCCTGACCTCATCTGCTTTTTTTCAGAGTGGAGCAGGTGTGAGACTGAAGAGGGCTGTCTTTGGGCAGGGGACAGTTGGAGAAAATCCCTGAATCGTGCGTGTGTTGCTATTCTCTGCCCAGTGTCCCCACATCATCCCATCTGTAGATTTACTTGACTCCAACAGCTTCATTCTGCCTTGGGGTTTGGAAGAGCATCTGCTGGGACCTTTGCCAGTGCTAAATAGACTCGGGATGCAGGCTCAGCCTTAAAAAGCTTGGGGCTTTCTGTCTGTGTGCATGGATACATGCTGGACTGAGAGTCCCACGGTTTGGGAAAACAAACAAAGCAAAGCATGTTTTACCCGTATGTCAGTGGGAGGAAGAGGAAGCAAAGGAGAACACACAGATCCCTGGATCTTACAAATTCAACCTCTTTTCTATCAGTGTACATATATATATATATATATATATATATATATATATATATATATATATATATATATATATATGAGAGAGAGAGAGAGAGAGCTGGAGAGACGGCTCAGGTTGTAAAGATACTTGCCACCAAACCTGATTCATGACCTGAGTTTGATCCCCACGACAAACATGGTGGAAGTAAAAACCACCTTCAAAAAGTTGCTCTCTGGCCTGTGCTCCAACGGCACACATGCCCTTCACTCACCAAACAAATTATATCATTTTAAAAAGAAATCAAGAAAAAAAAAGTATTTCCAATGTAGACAATGTGTGTACAAGTCCTTTCCTTTCCCATTTCTCTCTCTTTCCACCTAGCCATCCATTCATCCATCATCATTTATTCATTAAGGTCCAGCAAGGTGTTAATCTGCTGCCCATATAAACACAGTAACCGCTTAGGAGCCACACAGAGTCCACTTGTACAGTTTAGCATTGCGAAGTGTGGGTGAAAATCCAGAGTATCAAGACACACGCTTTCATAACTCAGTACTGCTTACAAACCCGAAACTGTCCAGTCCGGATGTTCAGTTGTATAGTGGAAGGAACATGCCATCTGAACCAAATAGGTATGGGCTCAAATCCTGCTTCGTGCTATATTTCATAGCTTTGTGATTTGGGCAGTTTTTCCTTAACTCTCTAACTTACTTCTCTGCAATGTGGGAATGTCAGAATTATATAAACTAGCATATTCAAGGCCTCTGCAACGGGCATGTCTCACAACACATTCAGTAATACCTACTATTTCCCGTTCCCTCTTTCCTTCAATATTTGTTCAAAAAATATTGCAAAATACCCAACTGTCAGACCCTGATCCAGATGCTGGGACCTGTGACTAGAACAAAGTCCTGAACTTTGTAGATTTCTCTTTCTATAGATAGAAGGTATCACACAATGTGCAAGATGTCGCCCAAGTGCTATGGAAAAAATAAGAAGGGTAGAGGAAGAGGAAGGGTCTTAGAGAGTGTGGCTTATATACATGGGCAGGGAAGTGACATCTTTGGTAAGGTGATTGTGGTGGTTTGAAGAAGAATGGCCCCCTGAGGCTCACATATTTGAGTGCTTGATCATCGGGGAGTGGCACTACTTGAGAGGGATCAGGAGGTGTGGCCTTGTTGGAGGAGGTGTGTTGCTGGGCATGGGCTTTGGGGTTTCAAATACTCAAGCCAGGCCCAGTGGTTCTCTTCTCCTGCTGACTGAAGATCCGGATGTAAAACTGTCAGCTCCTTCTCCATCACCATGTCAGCTTGCACGCCGCCATGCTCCCTACCATGATGATAATAGACTAAACCTCTGAAACTGTAAGCAAGCCTCAATTAAATATTTTCTTTTATAACAGTTGCTATGGTCATGGTGTCTTTTCACAGCAATAGAACATTGACTAAGACAGTAACACTTAAACATAGATCTGAAGGAAATTGCTTTTTATCATTTACAAAAGAGGAACATCACAAACATCAGAGGCCATGTCATCTGCATCTGCAAGTAAGATGACTATTTGATGCATAGATGAAAGAAAGATGTAGTTCACATTACAGAACATTCTTCAATTTGCTATGAGCTACTTTCCCATGATTCCCATTGGTTATCATGGCATCTTCATACCCTGCATCAATATGGTGTCCTCAGATGGTGCATCTCTTTTGGGAAAGGAATAATAAGGCACAACAGCAAAACAGATGTGTGCCTTCTCTTCTCAGCTAACTCCTGAGTCCTCTCTAAGTCGACTTTGAAGGTAACCCTCTGATTTGGTCTCAGAAATCCAGGAAATTCAATGGAAAACTTTTCAAAGAGGGGAGACTCCTTAGATGTCCATATTATTCTCTTTTGGGAAAACCTTTCCAACCGTGAGGTAGGGGTCAATGGGAGCTACTTGGGAGGCCTGGTTGAGTCCCACAGCAGTCTTGAATCACTGTACCGCAAGACCCAGCTTAACCTACAAAATCAGAGGTATACCAGCAGGCCAACATCATTCAAAGGAGTCCAGGCAGCAAAGGTCAAACAGATGCAACATGATATTTGGCCATATGGATAATGTTTTCAACCCAGCAGACACACCCAGTGCTTTGCAAACCTTAGCATGCCTACAAATCACCTGTGGATCCCATTTAAACGCATAGTCTGATTCTAGGATGGGCCCTGAAAGCCTCCATTCCCAACACACTCTTGGGCAATGCTATGTCATTGGGTCAATGTGTTTAGTATCAAGGCTTAGGTGGTCCTCAAACTTGGCTTCGTAGTAGCATCACCCAGAAAACTCTCTACATCACTTGCAGTTGGATATATAGATAACCATGGTCAAAATTGTGGTATTTGCCTAGGAAGATGGCACAGTACTAAAGCACCTGCTACCGAGCCTGAGAACCTGAGTCCCATCCCGGTGGGGGGTGGGCAGGGGGAGAAGATGGAACTAGAGAACTATCTTCTACAAGTTGTCCTATGACCTCCACATGTTCATTATCACATGTAGCCCCTGCCTTACCAGTAAATAAGGAAATTAATAAATAAGTATACAAATGCTGGGGGATCGGGAGATGGCTGAGCATTTAAGGGCACTTGCTACTCTTCCAGAGAAATGAAGTTCAGCTCCCAGCAGCCATGTTGTGTGGCTCAAGACCAACTGAAACTCCAGCTCTTAGAGAACAGAAAGTGTCTTTTGGTTTCTTCAGGCACACACACACACACACACACACACACACACACACACACACACACGAGTAAAGACAATGAACTTTTAAACTTGCAAACAATGTTTGAAACAAAGAAGGTACTTTGTTCAGAGCGAGAAAAATGTAATACAAAAAAGTAAATTCAGGAAACTGCCAAGACGGCCCAACAAGTGAAGGCATTGGCCACCGAGGAGGGAGCTGACTCCTAGAACTTGTCTTCTGGCTTCTTCTCACATACCATGGTGTGTACACACACAAGTGAATAAACACATGTAAAAAGTTGTAGTGTCTAGGCATCCTCCTTTACCAATCCCCACTAAAGCAGAATCTAGGGCATGAAATGTGGGCATTTGTATTTTTTAAGTTCCTTAGGTGTTCGCTGAGAATGGCTGAAATAGGCTAAGAAGGTGCTGTATAATTCCAGAGACCGCTGAAGGACTCCACTTTGGATGAGAACAGCTGTATTCCACAGAGGTGAATCCTCCCCCCAACTGACAGAACAAAATAGACACCGACTTCTTAATACACAGAATTATATAGTACACAGGATTATAACTCATTTGCTTTCACCTGCTTCCTTTGATTCAGTGAGTTTAAAGCTAAATGGTTGATCTTACAGATGTGGTATGAGAAGGTGAATCTTTGTGGCTTATTCTGGATCAGGTGAATCTTTGTGGCTTATTCTGGCTTCCAATTTTCTGCTTTTCCCTTTGCATGCAAGGATGGGCATATAAGGATGATCATGATTTTAGAGCACATACATGTATCTTGGTTACTTTTCTATTGTTGTGACAAAACAGCATTTAATTTGAGGCTCATGGCTCCAGATGATTAAAGTCCATGACCATCATGATGGGAGCATGGCAGCAGGCAGGCAGGGTGCTGGAGCAATAGCTAAGAGCTTACATACTGCACCAACAATCACAGAGCAGAGAAAGAGACAACTGGAATGACATGGACTTTTGAAACCTCAAAGCCCAACCCCAGTGACACACCTCCTCCAAAAAGGCCACACTTCCAAATCCTTCCCAAACAGTTCCACTAACTGGAAACCGA